CTGACTGTAAGATTAACTCTTCAAGGGGTATTGCTGGCCCTGTCACTCCTGAAGCAGCCAGCTAGAGGACTTGGCACAAATATGGAAGAAAGCTTAAAGTCCCTTTCCTGCAAGATAATAGAAAGTTCAACAAGGCATCTCACTGGGTTTTTGACTGGGATGGCTGTCATGGGTGTAAAAGAGTTAGTGTTTGAGCCTCAGACGGATTTCAGGGCAAGCTGAAGTAGAAGAGTGGTTTCAGGCCTGAGTCCCATGCTTCTCTGCACATCTCTCTTACAACAAAGCACTCTTGTGCGGGTTTGCACAGGCTAGTCCTATCTGGTGAGGGTTTTGAATATGTGGGTCTGGGTCTCTGGGGGTCTTATGGAGGTGGGGGTGGGATTTCTATGCTGAACAGATTTCCAGGGTGTCCTGTCCTCTGTGAGGCTCTTGTTGATGGTGACTTTGAATAAGCAAGCCCCACCTCTTGCATTAGAGAAGGCTTGACCTCGGTGTCGTTTCCGTCTTGCTTTCCATGTTCTGTAACCCACTCATCAAAATAAATGCCTTTTTTTTGCATTTCCCCCATGGCACACTGTACCCCGTGCTGCCCTCCTCCCTTCCTGCCAGCCTCAAGTTCAGTTCCCCATTTCAGCCTTCTGGCTTGAATTAGGCAAAATTTAAAATAGAATTAAATGTGCAATTTCCTCCCATTCCTTCTGTTCTGCCCACTGCCTTCTGCTCCAGTTTCAGCCGAGCCCTTGAGCTCTGTAACTCCGAGGGCACTGTCTCCCAGGCCTGCCTGTGGTTGTGTAGGGCCAGAGCCAAACAACTGGATGTATTCCTGGGAGGAGAAAAAATTTCAACAAAGGAACCAAAAAAGAGAAAGCTTATGTATCCCCAAGGGCATGGTTACATGATTCAGTGGCTAGTGTATATATTTTGACTACCCCACTCAACTGATGTCCATTGACATCATTATCTCATCAAGACTAGGTAGGGGCTGCTGGGATAAATCTGGCAAGCATACAAGAGTCTATGATTTGTATGAGAGGATGCCCCTTGGTTCAAGCCTTTAACATCTTACCATTTGCCACCAGCATAAAAGCCAGTTAAACCATTCCCCTGCCTTCTCTCATTGGTAGTGCTGAGGTTTAGCTGGCTGGCTAATACACCATTATGCAATAAATTGGAGTAGAGTCTCTGCTCCTAATTTCCTTCCTTTTTGAGACTGGACTTTGTGTTCTGATTGACAGACATACCCATGACCTGCGCATCCATCAGCTGCAAGTTCGAGTGAATGGCTGGGAGCAAGTGAGCCCAGTGTCTGTGGACAAGGTCGGGACCTTCTTCCGGTATGCAGCACCAGACAAAAATTCATCTTCCTCTACGGTGAGTGGCTGCTGTATGGAGTCATGTCACATGCTGCCAGGTCAGACTGTCACACAGTGAAGCTCGCAGTAACCTTGATCCAGGGAAGTGCTCTGCTCCCCTCTTATGGCTCAGGCGTAGGGGTTGGTAATGAGCATGCAGATAAGTCAGGCAATGGTTGACATCAGAAGAAAACAGGGTGGAAATTTGGCAGCAACATGTTGTCTCATGTAGGCAGTTATCTTTTTTTTGGCTGCCTTCAGTCTGGAAAACTTGAGTTCAATCATCCCTTGGTGTACCTGGGGGATGGGTTTTACGACTTCACCTGCCCTCCCCATACCCAGATCTTAAGTGGGCAAGTCCCTTGTGTTAAGTGGCACAGTGTTGTGCATATCCTTATCCTTTAGTAAACTGGAAATTATCTCTAGACTACCGAGGGTACCTAGCACCAGGAGTGCTGTGGAAATGGCTGCTATACTGTATTGTTGAGGAGATAGAGACGAGGGAAGAGTTTGTACATGCTCATTACAGGGTGACCATTGTAAGCCTGAGGGTAGTTTGAGGGTGTGACACTTGTGTACATAGAAGCCCAACTATATTGATTTTTTGATGTATTATAAAGCTTTATAATTTATATACATTTTCCTATTATAGTGGTCTTCTGTGGTCCTTTTAGCTCTGTGTCCCCAAATCCTGTGTGGCACAGAGGTACAGAGGTGACACATTGCTGCTTTTTATCTGATCATGTGTGAATTCACATGCCCTCTCCCTAGTTTTGCCCTGACCCGTGGTCCTGGGGCTTCAGGGCAGTGGAGAAGGATGCAGACACTGTGGAAAGGTGCAGACACCGTGGAGGGATGCAGACACCGGGGAGGGATGCAGACATTGGGCAAGGTTGCAGACGCTGGGGAAGGATGAAGTCATTGGGGAAGGATGCAGATGCTAGGGAAGGATGCAGACATTGGGGAAGGATGCAGGCAGCTTCCATTGCTACTGGTGTAGGCAGAGACCACTGTCCAGGTGATGCAAGTGCCATAAATACTCTTGTGTTATATTCATGTTCTGTTAGGCAGATGACCTCTTTATGAGCATCAGTGATGAGCTAGAAACTATAGAGACACCGGCTTTCCTCATGAGAGATATTTTTGGAGAACATTATTCCATAGGTGTTTTATTTTCAAGGTCTCTCTCTGGTACCCCACCTATCTTCAGTGGGAGAAAGCAATTACCCCTTTTTCTCCCCAGATTATTTTTCTGCCTAAATTCATACCAGGCAGTGAAAGGGCCATTTCTTCTTATGCATGCCTTCCCATTGCATTGATGGGTCCTGTAGAAACCTCACACCCGTTAAATGATTGCAGATTGAATTTTTTTTTCTGTCTGCTGCTCTGGGCATGATATGTTGTTTTTAGACACATTGTTCCTGAAAGTAATTTCAAACACCACTCAAGGCAATTAGACTGTCACTGAATTTAATTGCACCTGCTATTGTGACTCTGTGCTGATGCTCTGACTTGTGACTCTCTCTCTTAGATTGGCAGCCCAAGCAGCAGAACAAATATCATACATCCCCAGGTTTATGTGAGTATGATCTATGTTGTCATCATTGTGCTTACTGAGTGTGTGCACTGCACTGGGATGATTGTATGTAGCCGTGTCTTACTGAGTGTGTGCACCACACTGAGATTGTACATAGCCCTGTGTTTCTTGATGGCCAAAGGACTCTGTTGCCTGTGGGTGACTGGCACTTACGATACCCTTTCCTACTAGTGGTCCCCCTAAATCAGTGCACATGACTGAGGATGATGGTGCATCCAAGGCCTCCCTGTCCTTCTCATTGGATGTAGCCATTTTCCCTGGTTTGGTTGTGATTGTTACGCTTGGTACAAAGGCCATGCAAGAGGAATACAAGATAATTAATTAGATTACCTCCTCACTGGTGCTGAAATAGCATTACAAAAGTGACCTGAATGACATGGTCTGGGCTTTCCTCTTCCATTTCGCATGTCTGAGGATCCCAGGCACTGAGTGTACAGTCCTTGGGAGCTGAGCCAGTGGAGGCTAGAGCTTTGATGCTGATTTGTGACTAGAATGTGCTCCTTAAAAACACTCCATAGAGGGGGCTCAGAGAATCTTAAGTTTAATTCCCAGCACCATGGCAGGCAGCTTACAGCTGCCTGTATCTCCAGTTCTAATCTCTCTTCTGGCCCCCAAGGATACCTGCACATACATGGTATCACTCTCACTGAGGTACACATCCACATAAATAAAAAATAATAGAAAAAACAGAACAAAAACCCAAGAATTCTCTAGAAAAGAGTTTGATTTCTGACTTCCAGCTCTCTGGTTTAGAAGCACAGTGGTTTGTCTCATTGCTCACTAGGGCTATTCTTACACAGTTTGCTCTAGTAACAGTGAAGTTGGCAGAACGGAGCACTTGGCTGTGCTAGCATATGTTTCTATGACAAAGGTGTATCGTCAGTGTGTCCTAAGAGTTGTGCTTCTGGAATCCTCTTCGTATCTCACGTGGAATTCACTCTTAAACAGATAGTTCTGTGTGGTAGTTGCACAGAGACTGCCAGGTGCAAGCGGACACACAGGAACGTAACATAGCAACTGTAACCCAAAAGCAACGAGGAACCATTTTCCTCTGTTACACCGAGTGTCTAACCTGCTCTCCAGTTTATAAAGGCTGTGTGTACCTGTTCTCTCAGCGCCTGGGAGGTAGAGCCAGGGGGTCAGGAGCTCAAGACCATCCTCTGGTACATATGGAATTAAAAGTCAACGTGGGTTACATGAAAAGCAAAACAAATGAAGCCAGATCATGGTTATGGAGCAGAACCTGGAGGGTTATGATGAAGAAAGAAGTTTACTTTTAAAGTTCTTGAAAGCACATAGTTTTTGGTTTGGCATGAGAGTAAGTTGAGTCACACTAGAGAAAAAGAAGTCATGTATGTTGGGAGGAACATCCCCTGAACAGAAAAGGCTTTCATGCACACTGCTTTCCACAGATAGGCAGAAGCCTCTGCAGACATCTTCTGCCTTCTGTGTGTGTCTGGGTGGAACCCGGCTCCCTGTTAGTGTTCCGGAAATATTTTCTCAGTCTTAATTTGGAAGGAAGATGCCACGTGAGGGAAACCAGTTAGTGCCATGCAAGGCCCTACCTCAGTGTCTCCTATTTTAGCTGATTTGCATGACTGCTCTTTTTTCCACAGGAGACCTGGAAAAAGTTTATGAAGCTTGTGGTACCAATTCACAGGAAATTTGGAAAGTTGAATAGGTTATTACTACCATCTTAGTTGAAGTTCTTTATATCTGGAGACCTGGGCATAGCCCTCTCTTCCTTTCTCTGTAGAAGCCAGGATCTCTTGCATGCTACTCAAATACCCTGCCACTGAGCCATACCTTCAGCCCTGATGATTCCTTTTGGGTCATAATTTGTGGTATTATATCTGAGTAGATTATTTTATAGTCATTTTTTAGAGTTAGCTCTCTAAAACAAACAAACAAAATTATCGATTTTCTTAAGTATTTGTTTTTCTCCCTCCCTCTCTTTCTTAAGTATTTTATGTGTGTGATTGCCTGCGTGCATGTAAGTGTGCCATGTGAGTATTTGGTTCCTGAGGAGGCCAGAAGAGAGCAAGTCTGCTAGAACTGGAGTTACACATGGCTGTGAGCTGCCATGTAGGTGCTGGGAGTTGAACCTGGGTCCTCTGGAACAGTGGCCAGTGCTCTTAACCACTGAGGTATCTCTGTCTCTCTGTCTCTCTCTTTTTAAATGGGTGGGGCGGTTTTTGTTTTGAGAGAAGGTCTCATGACAGAGCTCTGGCTATTATGGAACGCCATGCTAACTCACAGAGATCCCCCTGCCTCTACCTTTGCAGTTCTGAGATTAAAGGTGGGTATCACCATGCCTAGCACTCCTGGTTCTTTTATAGCAATATTTATGTTTAGCAATATTTATGGCCTGCTTGTTTACTTTAGAGTTGAAAATTGGTTTGGGGTGGATAATAGCTCACTGAAAAGCTATGGTGACAATGCTCCAGACCTCTCATACTCTGGAATTCACATACTGTGTGTTCTTCCAGATGCTCAGTGTTTTTTCTTTCTCTTGCACAGTTCTCCTCGCTCCCACCTGTGCGGGTGGTATTCGCCGTCACAATGGAAGGCAGTGCTCGGAAAGTAATCACTGTCCGGTCGGCCCTCATTGTAAAGAACAGACTGGAGACCCCAATGGAACTACGACTGGACAGTCCCTCAGCTCCTGACAGTACGTTCAGATAGTGTAGAACTAAGTATTGTGTATGTTCTTGTGACTGGCTCCATGCAGTCAGTATACATAGTGTGTCTGGCCTCTGTCCTGGGAGAATGAGTCTTGAGGCGGGGCCGTCTCCTGCAAGTGCTAAAACCCTTATTCCTGTGGCAGAGCCAGTGGTGCTTCCGGCTATCATGCCAGGGGACTCGTTCGCTGTGCCTCTCCACCTCACGTCCTGGAGACTGCAGGCGCGGCCCAAAGGACTGGGTGTGTTTTTCTGCAAGGTTCCCATTCACTGGACCAACGTAGTGAAGACCGCAGAGGTCAGCAGCAGCAAACGGGAGTGCCATTCTATGGACACGGAGAAAAGCCGCTTCTTCAGGTGTGTTCACCGCTGGGATGGCTGCCGGGGCAGGCGGTAGCTTTTCCCCTGCAGGGGCTCTGCTGCCCCTTAGTGAGTCCTTCGTATTTGTTTAAAACCCTGAGTTCTCACTCTGTAAGTTCTTCAGTGAAAGTTTGTGGGTGGAACAACCAAGGAAGGCTGTAGACACATCAGATCAGTGCCGTGTGTGTGCAAAGAGAGCACACACGGGAAAAAAAGAACAAAACAAAAGTCACCAAGCTCCTGTATCTAAATTGGGAAGCCAAATCCTAGGCCTGGGTTTTTTCCTAATGAGTAATTTTAAAGATTCACAGCTGGTGTTGACAGAATTGCCTCGCCACTTAAACCTGTGTTTCCCTCTTTAGCATGTGAGGGCATCTTCCTGGGCTCAGTGTTGGAAGAGACACTGATTGCTGCTTTCAGGCTCTCGGAGACTCTAAGCTCACCTTTTATGCTTTTCATATAGTGAAATGGGCATTTCATTTAGTTTAGTTTAAACTTAAGTGCAATCATAGTATGGAGAGTTATATATAATACACCCTTGCCCTAAATGTGCCAGTTGTAGGGAGAAATAGATGAATACACACAGAATCACAGTTGGTGAAATAATAAAGATATCAGAGGTTTGAGCCATAGCCAACCAGCTTGTTTTAGTTGGCATATGCACAGAGATTGCCTTGCCCAGTAATTCCAGATTGTATGTTATTTTTAGGTATGTGTGGAACATTCTTTGAGAGGCCATCTCTTGTGGACCATAAAATTAAGATCAATAAATATTTAAAAATTGAAATCATACAGAATACATATCCTGATCATAATAGAATTGGATCAGATCAACAGCAATAAGATGCCTAGATAACCTGCAAGTGTTTGGTAATCAAACTGTACTTTTAAATAACCTTTGTAAGAAATTACAAAGGGAATTAGAAAATTATTTTGAATTGAGCAATAACAAAACAGTAATACTAAAGACATCAGTTCTATGGGAAAGCTACACTTTTTAATGTTCTGTGAGAAAATAAAAATATGTAAAACTACCTGCTTAGCATTGAGAAGCTTAAAAGTATGAGCGAAAGCCAGTAAATGCCAGACACAGAGACACACAGCTGTAATCCTAGCTGTTGGAGCATGGAGGAAAGAGATGAAGGGTTTGAGGTCACCCTCAGATTAATTGTGAGCTTGAGGCTGGCTTGGGCTACATGAGACCCTGTCTCACTCCAGACCAAAGCCACACACACACACATACACAGTAATTTTAACAAAACAGTATGATTCCCTATTTTTTTTTTTTCAAACATCCTTAGTGTTTTTTATCTCTCTTCCTTAAATATTAACTTGACACAGTTTGGAGTAATCCTAGTGGCAGGCTTCAATTAAGAAATTTCCTAGATCAGATTGGCTTTTGTGGGTGTGTCTGTGGGGGATCGTCTTCACTATTAACTGATGGAGGAAGGCACTGGCAGGTGGGTAGTCCTGAGCAGTACATGAACCGGAGACTAAGCCAGCTCTTTCCTTCTCTAAAGTGGTCAGAGTATGTTATCACAGCAATACAGTGAAACTAAAATACCATGTACGCAACAACATGCTTGAATTTTGTTGAACAAGAAAAAATCCCAACCCAGAATAGTATATACCATATGACCCCATTTGTATGTAGTTCAAGGCAGACACACCTGATAAAAGGGGTTTCTTGAATGGCTGGGAGAACATACTGTTTGGAAAGTTAGTGAAGGCGCTTTGGGGGTAAAGTAGACTTGAACTTGTACTGAGTGATGGTTACCAATGCGCACGTAATGGCCAAAGCCCATTAAACCCTGGTATTCAAAACCTATACATTTTACCGTGTGCTACATCTCAGTATATTTTCATCAAAGATTGCAGCAATCTGGCTGACCTGAACCATGTTAACATTACTCAGCTAAGCAGAAGCAAATTCCAGTTCTTAATTCAGGCTGCTGTGTTTCATACTGTTTTGTCTTCACAGGTTTTGTGTGGCCATAAAGAAAGAGAATTATCCAGATTACATGCCCTCCAACATATTTTCCGACAGTGCAAAACAGATTTTCAGACAGCCGGGGCATACCATATATCTCCTACCAACAGTGGTTGTATGCAACTTGCTGCCTTGTGAGCTTGACTTCTATGTGAAAGGAATGCCAATTAATGGGACCCTTAAGCCTGGCAAAGAGGCAGCCCTCCCCACAGCTGATACATCCCAGAATATTGAACTGGGTAAGGCAGCCCTTGCATCATTTGTAGTAATACTGTGAAAATTACTATGGAGTATTTTGTGAAGGTTCTGAAACCCTTGGGGAAATCAAATCAAATGGAATGCAGTATCTCAGTGAACTGAGTCAAAGCCAAGGACTTAGCCAGGCAGCAGCCGTCAGAGCCCTTTGTCTTGTGTGTGGGTATAGGGAGTAATTCCATCTTTTCAAACCGGGCATATTCCTAGCTGTAGAACGGGAAGAGGCAAATGTTTGCATGCACTCAGTCCTTGAGGCAGAAGGCATGCTCTTTTCCTGTGCCCTCATGCAATCTTTACGATTACACCTGTTTGACCCATTTTATGATGCCGAGATGAAGATTACAATGTTTATTGTACTAAGTAACTTTCCTTTGTAAGGGTTAGGGCAGAGAATAGCCACACTTCAGACACCAAGGGGACATTACTAACCATACCTTTACTGGGGCCTTCAAGGAAAACTGGTGGTGGCATACGCCTTTAGTTCCAGCACTTGGGAGGCAGAGGCAGGCAGTTTGAGGCCAGCGTTACAGCCAGGGCCACAAAGAGAAAACCCTGTTCCAAAAAACAAAAACCAAGAAGACAAAGAAAGCCACCTGTGTTTATCATTCTGTAAGATCTGTACCAGGCTTTTCCTTTTGGGTCACCAACTGGCTCCCAAATGATGACACAGAGACTAATTAATTAATTTTGAATGCTTGGCCTAGCTTTGGCTCATTTCTGGCTAGCTCTTAAATTAACCTGTTTCTTTTTGTCTACTTTTTGCCTCAGGGCTTTTTACCTGCTTTCTGTATATCTTGCTTCCATTGCTTCTCTGGGTCTGGCTAGCTTCTTGCCCTGTCATGTCCTTTTTTCTTGTTCTTCACTCCTCCTCTGAGCCTGGATTTCCCCTCCAGTGTATTCTCTGTGCCCACCAGCCCCGCCTATCCTTTCTCCTGCCAAGCTATTGGCCATCTAGTTTTTTATTAGACCAATCAGGTGCTTTAGGCAGGCCCGGTGAAACAAATACATCACATCTTTACATCATTAAACAAAGGCACACTTTTACACATTTTAACATAACATTCTGTAGCATAAACAAATGTAACTCATCTTTGCCTAGTTAGAATAATATTCCACAACACTTGGGTTCTGATGTGCTACTTATTTCTTCCTATCCCAGAAGATGAAAGTGGCCTTGAGGTTGCTACCATGTAAACCCTCCTCAGTGATTTCTCTAAAAGGGCTCCAGTTTAGTTTTATGATAGGCTATTTTTGGCAAACTCAAGAGCAAGTCCAAAAAAAATCAGTGTCTTGTACCTTTAGGGGTGTCACTGGAGAACTTTCCACTCTGTAAAGAATTGCTCATCCCACCCGGGACCCAGAACTACATGGTCAGAATGCGACTCTATGACATCAACCGGCGGCAGCTCAACCTCACCATCCGCATTGCATGTCGCGCAGAAGGATCCTTAAAGATCTTCATTTCTGCGCCATATTGGCTCATCAACAAGACAGGTATACCAGGAGACTGCCAGCTAGACCTTTGACATGGGCCTTTGGAAGTCTTTGCTCAGCTGACTAACTGGAGCCAGTGCAGACATTGATTGCTTCAGCAGTCTGATCTGCTCAGGCACCCCTACTGCCTGTTTGACCATAGTCAAGCTGCCCGTTTAGGTTCCTGCAGACAGTGCGCTGAGCCCCTGACAGACTCCCTTTCCTGCTTCCCTCCGAGGTGGTTCCCCCTTTTGCTGTTTGCATGCTTCATGGGGAGACTGGGTGGGAACGTTATAAACTTTTTCCTCCTTCCTAAAGGGTTACCACTGATCTTCAGACAGGACAATGCAAAGACAGATGCTGCAGGCCAGTTCGAGGAGCATGAGTTGGCCCGGAGCCTGAGCCCTCTCCTGTTCTGCTATGCGGACAAAGAGCAGCCAAACCTGTGAGTGTGGTTGTGTATGGGAGGGCCAGTGAGCTGGGGGTGGGGGTGGGGTGGGGAGAAATCAGCAATTCTAGCATCTACCTGTGCAAGAACTGTCCTGTAGGCCACAGGCCTGACTTGGCAGCAGTGGATCTCCCTGACTTAATGGGGTTCTTTTTTCTTTAACCCAAGTTATATGTTATTTGATACTGAGAATAAACCACTTGTGAGTTTGCAATGAAAAGTAGTTTTTTTTTTTAAATCGAAGTAGGACTCTTAATTTGTAACTATGCCAGAAAAGAGAAACTGGTCCCCCCCCCCCCCCACTCCCCTCTGCTAGCAGCTTTGAGAGCTGGAGAGGAATGGCAATAGGGAGGAGACAGGATGTCCTTGGTGAAGTCTTCAGCCTGTGAACCCTGCTGAGATTGTTTGTGGGAGGTTTTGTACTGTTGCACCATCTTAAAATTCATGGAAGTCTGGGGGTGGGAGAGCAGTTGGGAGGTTAGGTGAGGTGTCTTTTTAAGGCACGCAGGGACATTAATTCACTTTTGTTGGTTTTGGCATTCAGTTTTCCTCAGGAGTTTACAGCCCTCATCAGAAATAAATGGAGTGCCCGGTATGTCTCGCACCATCTGTAGGGTGTTGCTGAAACCTCATAGGGAGGCGACGGCCCCTGTGCTCTCCAGTGGTTATCACGGCTTTCTGAGTCTAGTGTAAGGTTGCAGTTAGTCAGAGTTCTAGCTCTTGGAGGAGATGCAGCCAGACAAGTGATATATCCTGCAGTCTGTCCCTCATGGCAGTCTGAGATCTAAGACTTGGCATTTGTCACAGTTTGGCTTACCTGCAGAAGTCACACCTCCCAAAGGGTTCGTGTAGACTATCTGATTGCAGTCTCTTTGGCAGGAGATACTATTAATCCTAAGATGAGGAAACTGAGGCACAGAGACAGAGTTTCTGCCCAAGGCCACATTGTTAGTGGCAAAGCATCTTTTTCCAGGTCCTATGACAAGACTTGAGCCACCTCTTCAGTATTTTACCACTGTGATCATACTGGTTCTTAGAAAGACACCCCTCCAGCTGCCTCACTATACAGGGCTTTTTCAGGGGTTTCTGGAGTCTTTGGATTTTAAGGAAATGGTAGAGTTGTAGCATGTGGTAGGCTTATGGAGAATTCTAGCATTTTCTCCCAAAGTGCTTAGCGGCAGTTCCCAGTCATCACCCACTGCTGGGGGTGCCGTGGCTTACCTCTGGAGTTCACTGTGCTTGGGGTCCACAGGAGGTAAGGTTGAGAGTAAGTGTGAGAGACCTAAGCGGGTGGCAGCCACAGTGTGTCCTTACTTGGAATCCTCTGTGGATGGATGTGTACATGTTTGCTTTTCTGTCCACCACAGCTGCACCATGAGAATTGGAAAAGGGATTCATCCAGAAGGCATGCCGGGCTGGTGCCAGGGCTTCTCCCTGGATGGTGGTAGTGGTGTCCGAGCTTTGAAAGTCATCCAACAAGGAAACCGCCCAGGGCTCATCTACAACATAGGTGGGTTGTGTTCGGGGCTGAGGGTGGATTGGAACCATGGGGCAAAGACCGTAGGCCTGCATGAGGAAACCATCCATGCATGTTGGCCTGGCAACAAGTACAGGTTTTCTGTTTTGATGGTGGTCATCTGTCTCTTCTCTGAATGCTAGATTGATATCTGTGTAGATGTGTTCTCTGAAACACCTCTTTTTCTGGGGAATAATAGGAACACTTAGAGCACGTCCATCCCACACATTAACTCAAACTTAGAAACCATGAGCAGGTGAGAAGAACTCACCTGGGACTGAAGTGGAGAGCTGGAGTGACAGTCCAGATGTGGATGGGAGGACTGGGTCAGAGGCAGGAGGCGCGGCGTGTGAGCTTGAGGCAGGAAAAAAAAAAAAAAAAAAAAAAGAGAGAGTATTGGTTTTTTTTTCCCCATCATGTGGGTTCTGGGAAGTGAACAGAGGTCATCAGTCTTGGAGGCGAGTGAGTTTAGATGATTTCTTAAGAGAAGAACTGTCCAAGTATAGTTTCCTTTTCAGATCATTTAACCTGGATTTGTATTCATGCCCTTGACACTGCTCCCTTACAGTGCACATAAAGATTTTTAAAAGAAACCTGCTCTCACTGAGCCAAAGAGAGTGTCCTACTCACAGCTTCTGCTCTACTCCTTGAGCTGCGTGGTGGCTTTCTGCTGGCCTGTCTTGCTCTTGTTTTCCAAAACAAGCTACCCAGGTTGTCTGGAAGCTATATTTGGTACAGATTTGGGAAGGGAAAAGTTGCTCCTTTTAATGCAAGTGGAGCAGTGAACACATTTGTAAATGTTCATGCATGTGTGGTCGTGTTTGCAGGTGTAAATGGTAAATGCATGTGTAAGCTTGGAGTATCTGTAAATGTGTGGGCCAGGAGAGTGTTCCTCACAGGCCTGTCATCTGCCTTCTGTCCCTTTTCCAAGTGAAGGGGCAAAAGGGATGGGCTGAGATAGGATCTTAAAAGTCTTCAGGGTGTGACATTTGTGTAAGTGTTGTCAAGGCAATCTGTGAACTCTCCTAGTGCATACAACTGGCTTCCACTTGGGAATGTTTACAGAGCAGTCCCCAACCCAAAAGCCAGGGACATGCATCTTGAAAAAGAAGGGTTTTGTGTATTTAACCTCAGCTCAATTTATTGGGGGTCTGCCAGGGTAAACTAGAGTAGAAGGGAAACACAAAGCTTACCTTTTTCCAAAAATAGGGTGTCTGTGCTCTGGGCCATTCTTTGTGCTTCCAAATTAAGCACAGTGTTTGAAGTGGACTCATGTTAGTTAAGATCTGCTGACTCTGACCCTGTTGGTCTGGCAACTAAAGCTTTTCTTCTTTTCCAGAAGAAAGGTGTGTGTGTGTATGTGTGTGTGTGTGTGTGTGTGTGTGTGTGTGTGTGTGTGTGTGTGGTGTCGTGTCCCATCACCCTGGAGCCATTTGGCATTTCTTAGGTAAGAGTCCCAGAGACAGTCTCTGGAGATTGTTTAGTCTTTTAAGCCAGTTGAAGCCCGTGAAGTAGTCAGCAGCAGGTTGTGGTACCTGTATCTGAGAGGGTGCTGGCTCTCTTGAGGTGCTGGCTCTCCGGGCTGAATGCCTAGCCTTGTCTACAGCTGTGTGACCGAGAGCAGGTGCCTGCATGTCTTCGTTTCCACAGCTGTGCAGTGAGTGCAAGTGAGGACTGTACTCCAGAGGGGTGCTATGAGAAAATACGTGGAAAGACACATAGAGGGCTTAACATGTATGAAGGGGTCGATATCCTTCAGGGTCGTTATTTTTATTACTTTGGGTAAACATTTTTAATTATTATATAGTCAGAACTCAGCACAGAACTTTGGACTTGTGTTTCTGTATTTATTGTCATAGCGAATGAGTGAGTCATCCCACTGAGTGTTGTATTTTACAAGGTAACTCAGTGTGACATCATTTGTCTTTATGTGAAACTTGTGGTTTTGAGATTTCTTTCTCAATGGGTGGTGTGTATGTGTGTGTGTGTGTGTGTGTGTGTGTGTGTTTACGGTTTGTCATAAGCAGGAAAGACTTTTTTTTGAGACAGAGTTTCTCTGTGTAGTTTTGGAACCTGTCCTGAACTCAATTTGTTGACTAGGCTGGCCTTGAACTCACAGAGATCTGTCTGCCTCTGCCTCCAGAGTGCTACTTTTTAATGAATAAATAATCCTAGCATCATGTATGAGTTGGGTTATTTGGCAGTAGGCTAAAATTGCTAGAGAAGATTCTAGCTAGAGAGTGCTTGATTGAGTTCAGGTTGGTATAGAATCCAACTAAGTAGTCTGAGGTTTCTACTTATCCTTAACAAAGGAAGATTCTCGGTGGGAAGTTTGCGTCCCAAGTGTAAGCATCACTGTAGCACATGGAGCTGTCTGAGTGGTTAGTTTCATAAACAGAAAGCTAAGCTATGTATGACCAAAATTCCTGTGTGTCTTACAAGGAAAAGAGACTAGGAACGAAAGGGACATTGGCATTGCCCCTTACTTATTTATTATGTGTTTACATGCATGTATGTTAATGGTACATGTGTAGAGGTCTGGGGACAACTTGTAGGGGTGAGCAATGTTGGTTCCAGTGATCAAAATCAGGTTATCAGACTTGATGGCAAGTGCCTTTACCCACTGAGCCATCTCACCACTCCCCGGACTTTCTAAAGCCGAAACGGAATAATTCTCTTCTTGAAAGGCTTCATTCCAGCTGACATGCCTGTTTGCTCACAGGGACTAAGGAACTAGGAAGGCTTCTTACTTCTGTCAGACCTAGAATTTTCTGTCACGATTAATCAATGAAATGGTTCTTGTCATTTGCAGGTATTGATGTCAAGAAAGGCCGAGGTCGCTATATTGACACTTGTATGGTCATCTTTGCCCCCCGTTACCTGTTAGACAATAAATCATCTCACAAGCTTGCATTTGCACAAAGGGAATTTGCCCGGGGACAGGTAAGCAGTTTGTTTGAAGATTGGTCAGAGCTTGTTTAATAATGGGGGGTTTAATGACAATGCTGGCTTCTCATCGATACTGTGTGTTTCGTGATGTGAGTGACCCAATAGCTCAGAGTAGGGACTCAGTAAGAATTGTATGTGACTTGGTCAGGCATTGAGTACCATGACTAAAGCCTGTGATCTGTGTGTTTTAGGGAACAGCCAACCCCAGTGGCTACATTTCCACCTTACCTGGTTCCAGTGTGGTGTTCCACTGGCCTCGCAATGACTATGATCAGCTCTTGTGTGTCAGGCTGATGGACGTTCCCAATTGCATTTGGTCTGGAGGCTTTGAAGTCAACAAGAATAATTCCTTCCATATCAACATGAGGTGAGTTTGAGCCTTGAAAGAGACAAAAAATAGCTTTATTTGAGGCACATTAATGTTATTAATTATATGTTTGCATTTATTTATATATTTATATGTGTGTGTGTGTGTGTGTGTGTGTATGTACATACACACATATGTAAAATCAAGCCCATTTCATTCTTTGTGAGGTAGGCTTGTGGATTTCTGGTTCGGGTCAAGTTCTTAGACCTTGTAAATTCCCAGGGAAGTGGGAAGACCAGGTGAGTTATGGAAGATGCTTTAAATGATGAATGCAGCTCTGTGGCTTAGGGTGTCTGGAGTCTAGAGTGACTGCCTGTACCTTGAAGCTGCTGTCTATGTTTAGATGGGACTACAGGTGGTAACTGTCTTAGTTTTCATTCTTGTACATTTGAATGTTCTTCTCTCATTTGATGTTGTTCTGGTAAGTTATCAGGCCTTCTGTTCTAATTTCATGTCTACTACCATGAGAAAATACCCTGGCAAAAAAACACAAACTAAAACAAAAAACAAAAAGCAGCTTGAGGGAGAAAGGGTTTATTTCTGTTTATTCTTTCAGGTTATAGTCCAGCATAGTTGAAAAGTCAAGGCAGGGCCCCACGCGGTTAGTCACATCCTATCCACAGATGAGACAGAAAGAAATGAATGCTTCATGCTCACCTGCTTATTAAATGTGCTTAGCTCCATTTCTCCAATGTCATACAGTTCGCACCCTTTGCCTAGGGAATGGTGCCAACCACAGTGGGTTAGGTCTTCTCTCACTGATGAGCTAAATTAAGACAGTCCCTGACAGAGCCACAAGCCAAGCCAATGTGAGACAATCCGATTTTGTTCCTGGGTGACTTTCTGGTTGTGTCAAATCGACAAATCTATATTTTTGATTGTGAGCCTAGCCTTTAATGGCTGAGCCATCTCTCCAGCCCCAAATTGACAAATCTAATCCCACCTTCTTTGCTCACTGCAGTGAACCCCCCCAAGTCCTTGTTAGAAAAATCACCCAGTTCGGCCTCGGGTAGCTCAGGCTGGGTTATTGTTATTATCATTATTGTTGTATTTCTTGCAATTGAACCTAGAGCTTTGCACATGCTAGGCAAGGACTGCCACTGAGCTCGTTCCCAGCCCCATCAAACAACAGCACTTTTGGGATTTTATGTTTTGTTTTGTTTTCTCGAGACAAAAGACTTTCTTTGCTGGGTTGTCCAGCTTGACGACCTCTCAGCTTCAGTGATCACTCTTATTGATTGTGCCCTGGAACAGCCAGTACATATTCACATTGCTGTACACCTGCAGGGGTCTCTGCGACCACCAAGGCCAGCAGAGTAGGAAGCAGCAAAGTAGTTCTGTTTGACACCACTTAACAGCTGGTGTTGCTTCAAACTACTTCTAAGTTGTTTATTTTAGGCATATTTAAGCACAGTGCAATTTGGTGAAGGATTTCCTGGTGATAATTAATTCAATCCATTTGCACAATAAAGCTTAACACATGACTACACTGAAACTCTGTGAAGAACATGGGACACCTTCCATAAAGATGGGTTCTGTAGATTGACAAGTGCACGATGGGGATCTGAGGGAGGATCCAGTGTGGTCTCACCCATACAGACAGTGTAAAGTTCACCAGGCCGCTAACTACGTCTGCTCCCAGCTTTCTGGGTAGATAACAGGTTGTGCATCCCTCCCTTTGAAGGAACAACCCTGAGTGTTTAACATTCCTGGTTTCCCTAGTACTTATCTGTGAACACAGGAACCTTTGTGGCTCCCACACACACCCTTGACTACCCAGCACACACTCACACTGATGCACATCCTTGAGCGGCCAGTGCTCACTCACATCGATGCACACAGAGCCTAGAGCTTCATGTCCTGTAAAACTTAGACTCTACACCAATTGAATAACTCCCTACTTTCCTTTGGCAGCCCCCATTCTACATGGCGTATCTAGAAATTTGATTACTCAAGAGAATTTATGATTTTTTTTAATGACTGTCTCATTTTACTTAGGATAATAGTTAAGGGTCCTCTATGTGGCATGGGTCCACATTTTCTTCCTTTCTAAGGCTGAGTAGTATCCCATGTCTGGTCCACATTTTGTTTATCCGTCTACGGATGCTTCCCCGCTTTGGTTCCTACTGTGAACAGGTGTGCACAAATACACTGCAGACCCTGGTTTCAGTTCTTTTGTGTATAGATCCAGGAATATAATTGTTGGATCATAAGATTTTTAAAAATGCATTTGTTTTTTCAGATAGGGTCCTACTTTGCAGTCTTGGCTTAGAATTTGCTGTATCTATCAGGCTGACCTTGAACTAGAGATCTGCTTGCCAGTCTCTGGGATTAAAGGTGTGTGCCACCATGCCCCACTATTGTATTTTTAACTTTTTTCTTTAATGCAAGATCTGACTGTGTTGTCCAGAATAGTCTTGAGCTGGGAACTCCAACAGTCTCCGCAATCCAGCCTCCTGAGTGGCCAGGATTGCAGGCCTAGGTCATCCATGTAGGTCAGTGACTTTACCATTTTTAATCTTTCAAGGATGTGCTGTGCTGTGTTCTGTTAGGATTATAGCATTTTATTTTTCTGTGATCTATGGCTTGGGTCTCCAGTTTATCTAGTTTTACCAGTACTTATCATTTGCTGTTGGGGATATCTATAGTAGCTATCCTAAAAGCAGTGAGTGGGCTAATCTGACTGTGGTTGTCTCAGGACTACTGGATATTGGGCCCCAATGAATGTCAGCAGGTACTACGCTACTGAGCTAGGACTCCGGGCTGCACTGTAGCTGTGGTTCGCACTTCTCTAACGGTCATTTTGTGTGCTTGTTTGTACTCACTGCGTTGAACTGGTTTTCGTTCCTTTGGATGTTAGCCCAGACCAGGTATGTGATCCGCAAATCTCCTAGTCTGCCTTTTCACGCTGCTGATTGCCTTCTGTGATAGCTCTGTTGCTGTCTAATCCAGTTTATTGAGACTTTGGTCGCTTTTGATAATGCATCCCAGAAACAGTTGTCAAATCCAGTGCCACGAGGCTGTTCTCTTTTGTTTGCTTAAGGGTTTTATAGTCTCAGCTCCTTTTGGTTCTGGTCTGCTTTGAGTTAACCCTTGTGTGTGGTGTAGCAGTGAGGGGCCACTTCTTGCTTGGCGTGTAGCCGTCCTGCTTCTCCAGTGGCATTGGTTGATGGAAGGGTTTGTTTCTGGGCTTCCCGTTCACTCATTGGCCTGTCTGCGAGCCCAGTACTAGTGCCAATTGCTGGAGCCTCCTAGCACCTTTTGAAATGAGGCGGTGGCAGACCCTCTGTTTGGTCTCAGTGGTTCTTTTGTTCAGAATCCCTGAGATCCATAGAAATTTTATGATTTGATTTTTCTTTTCTATTTCTGCTAAAATCATGCTGCTGGGCTGGGATTAGACATGATTACTTTAAAAAGGTGAGGAGGGTGGGGTACAAGGGAAGGGGATGGCTGTGTGCCTAGTGTTAATCCTTTAAAAATGGCTTCAGTGTGTAATCTAAGCTACCGAGCGTCCATGCCACCCGCTTCTTTCCCTTTCCCCAATTTTTCATCTGGAAACAATCTGAGAAGTCACAGGAGTCGTGCAGTGAGCCTCTTCCATCTCACACCTCCACTGACTGACATCAGCATTTTGCTAAGTCCTATCTGCCCCTCCCTCGCCGTTCCCACACCTGCTCTGTGGTTGAGCATATGTAAGCACACTTTGCTGAACTATTAGAAAAAAAGGTCATCGTGATACTTGAGCTGTTAAATCCCGCTTCTACCACAAATAATGGCGTGATATGTATCTAGGGAAAAATACCTTTATTTTCAAAACAATTAATATCATAACTGACGCCATTAATACACATGCAAGGGATACAATACCAGCAGTGCTTTGTAATAAGTGATATCTGTCACAGACTGGACGAATGGGCATGTTTTCCCTCATGTGGCCCACTCTCTGATCTGGGAGCCAGTCAGTCACTTGTCTGATATGGATGCCCCTACCTCCACTGGTGGGGAGCTGGCCCAGCCCTCCCTTTTTGGCTGTGAGCCAGTGGTGTTTGCCAGTTGCTCTGATGGTCTTATAGCACGTGATCTTTTGGATGCTAGTATCCTGTGTGTAGATTAGGTCAGTCCTTTGTGTGAGTAGTTCCAGCTTATGTGATGTGTGTTTCTCTTGAGTCTCATCAGAAGGCCTGTGACATACTGATCTTGGTGTGGTTTGATCATTACTTGGTTGTCATTGTGCCCACCAGGGTGCCTACCTGCTCCCCCTGTTGCAAAGTCACTTTTCCATCTTTGTAAAGGAACAAATCCATTGAGGGATCACTTGCAGTCCAGTGTTCTGTTCCCTTAAACCTTTTATGTACCTGGGATTATTTGTTATTCAGGGATTGGAAATGGTGATTTTTTTTTTTTTTAAAATTTTTTCATTTATTTTTTATCTTGTGTACATTGTTGTTTTTGCCTCTGAGTATGTCTGTGTGAGGGTGTCAGATCTTAAGAGTTAGACAGGTGTGAGCTGCCATGTGGGTGCTGGGAACTGAACCCGGGTCCTCTGGAAGAGCAGTCAGTGCTCTTAACCGCTGAGCCATCTCTCCAGCTAGGAAATGGTGATTTTTTTTTTTTTTAAACTTTCTTCATTTGTTAATTGATATTCTTTTATAAAAACAAGGTTTTTGTTGTTGTTGTTGTTACGAGCAGTTTTCCTGCCAGCCTGGTCCTATAGCCACATCAGCCCCAAGTAACACACAGAGACGCTGTATTAGATACAAAGCTGTTGGCCTGTTACCAATGTTTCTTATGAGCTAGCTCTGTCTTAAATATTAACCCATTTCTATCAAAGTATTTCCACATGGTCTTGGTTTACCCAGAGATAGGGTCTGGACCTTTTACTCCTCTTGATCCTACATTTTGACTCTCCTATTACATCTCCCAGAATCTTCCTTGTCTCCTAGTCCTGCCTATCTTGCCTTCCTATTTGCCAACAGTGCTTTATTCATTAACCAATAAGAGAAACATACTCACAGAATGACATCTCCCATTAGTTTTTCTTTCCTCTTGTAATATACCTAAATACAATGCATGTAAACACACAATACAACCAGGGTTGCATGTAGCCCAAGCTGGCCTGGGATTGACTCACTATGTATCTGAGGATGACCTTAAACATCTGAACTATGTTCCACCCCTTTCATAGGTCTTCTTCATAGAAGAGTATCAGTCAGTTGAAGGAACGAGAAGGAAATCGCCACTTGTGCATGATATCAGCTTCTGCTTTCTAAGTTTCAGAAACATTAGATTTAATTGTATGTATGTGCGAGTGTCTCTTTGTGGGTATGTGTGGTGTGAATGCACATGTCTGAAGAGGCCAGAAGTGGTCGGTAGATCCCCTAGACCTGGAGTCACACGTAGTTGTGTGGGTGTTGGGACTGAACTCCGGTCTTTTATGTGTTTTATGTGCTCCTACCTGCTGAGCCAACCCCCCCAGTCCTTCTATTTTCTAAGTGTGCTCAGAGACCAAACAGTGATGCAGTTGCCAGCATCCTTGGAGGATGTTGTGACTGAGGAGCAAAGGGACTGCAGTCTGTGTCCTCCTTTTCTTTTTAAAAAGATTTATTTTAACTTTATGTGCAGGAGCATTTGAGTGCATGCATGTTTATGCATCAAGTGTGTTCCTAGTGTCCTCAGAACCCAGAAGACATCAGATCCCCCTGGAACTAGAGTTGCTGCTCTCTCCAGCCTGTCTCCTTTTAATGTTACTTTTGCTCCTTGTTTTGCAGGGACACCCTGGGAAAATGCTTCTTCCTCCGAGTGGAAATTACTCTCCGAGGAGCTACATATAGGATCTCCTTTAGTGACACAGACCAGTTACCACCTCCTTTCAGAATTGACAACTTCTCCAAGGTACCAAGTGCTTCTGAGGGCTGGCTGCTGATGTGGGCAGGGTAGAAGGCCATAGTGTAGTGCGTCTAGGACACTCACTAAAGCTCTGTGGTCTCGAAAAATCCCTACTCTTAAGAGGTTGTTCCAGCTGCTATCACTATTTTTAGATTTCCTAATTTATTTCATGTCTTCGAGCATTTTGTCTGCATGTATATATGTATGCCTGGTGTCTTCAGAGATCAGAAGAGGGCATTAGATCCTCTGGAATTGGAGTTACGGATGGTGGTGAGTCACCATATGAGTGCTAGGAATTGAACTCAGGTCCTTGGCAAGAACAAGAGCTTTTAATCATCAAGCTATCCATCTTTCCAGCCACTTCTGATTATTATGGTCACTAAGCTGCCTCATCCAGATTGAAATAGACTTTCTGCCCCCCCCTCCCCCAAACCTACTTTTGACTAAGAATTTGGTTGACAGTTGCTCTCTGTAGACAGGCTATAGAGGCAGAGACAGGGATCAGATTGCAGTGAACATTTTTATAATCCTAAATGTTAAATGGAAATCAGGAGGCTTTGCTTTTTATTTTTATGTGAGTTTGGCTGTATGAGTGCCACAGTGGACATGCTAAGGCCAACGGACAAGGTTCAGGAGTTGGTTTTCTTCTACCATGTGGTTCCTGGGGGATGAAACTCAGGTCATTAGACTTGGTAAAATGCTTGGTAAAATGTACCCTTATCTGCTGAGCCATCTCCCTGGCCCATAAGGCTCCATTTTAAGTTACTCCTTCAAATTATGTATCTTAGAGTATAAAACCTTTTGAGCCAGTGCCCAGACCATTTCTTCCGTATTCAGACATCCATCCATGGGGGCCAGAGTAGCAAAGAAAGGCACCATTGAAACAGTGGGATTGCTGCCTTGGATATTATGGCTCAGTCCCTTTAACACTGATTTTTTTTTTTTTTTTTTTTTTTACACATTTATGTGTGTGTGTGTATTTATTTGGGCCCTGTGAATCCCTAAGATGGATACAAAAGTATTGTGTCCTCACTGGTCATTCCTCCCTGGAGTATTCATCTGGGAAGGTGGGAGCTTCCATCTCGGGCCGGCTGGCTCACTTTCCAGGAACACTGCCCTGAACAAAGTCCTCTGCCCTGTAGGTTCCTGTTGTCTTCACTCAGCATGGTGTAGCTGAACCCAGGCTTCGGACTGAAGTGAAGCCCATGACATCACTGGATTATGCTTGGGATGAGCCCACCCTCCCGCCCTTCATCACACTGACCGTGAAGGGGGCAGGCTCCTCGGAGATCAACTGCAACATGAACGACTTCCAGAATCACCGACAGCTGTACTATGAAAATTTCATCTACATTGCTGCCACGTACACGTTCTCTGGGTAATTCTGGACTCAATTACTGTTCATGCAAAGCGGACTATTGTAACAGTGCAGTGCTTTTAAGTTTTTAGCAGTCTGAGGAGACAGGTTGCAGCAGACCCCTTCTTTACCACACCCCAGGTTCAGGGTCTGCCTTCAGAGTCTCTTCCACAGCCTCACTGTAGTAGCTTGATTACCACTGAACCTAGACTCTTTGTTTTGTTTTTGTTTTTGTTTTTGTTTTTTCTCCTTTCGAGACAAGGTTTCTCTGTGTAACAGTTCTACCTGTCCTAGAGCTCACTCTATAGACCAGGCTGGTCTTGAACTCACAGAGATTTATTTGCCGCTGACTCCCAAGTGCTAGGATTAAAGGCCTGTGAATGACTCCCCAGCCCTGCCAGTGGCAGCAACTCTTACTTCTTTAAAGACCTCCCCCAGGGACTGAGCCCACTGTTAAACAACACTGACAAGTCTCTTCCTGGATCTTGAATTCCTCCAGTGTTTGTCTTGTTCCTATGGCACTGACCAATGTGACCTTCTTAAGGGTTAGTGCCTCAGAAACCAGTTCTGTCTAGCTGTGAGTCCCACTTGCTGTTTGTTTTCTGTAAGTTCTAGCAGCCAATGAGCTCTTTAAAGGGAGAGTCCTAATGGGGACCTCAGGCTCTGAGGTGAGTGTGTGGAGCAGGGAGGGAGAGAAGCTTCTGGGAACCCAGGCATAGAATGAACCCAGGCCCTGTTGGGGTGCTAGGCGTTAGAACCACTTTTTGGCATATACCTGATATTGTTGGTGTGCATTCTTAATAATGGAGAAGAAAGAAAAAAAGGTTTTTTTCTTTAATTTTTATTATTTTGAAGCCAGGTTCATGTAACAGAAGATTAACCATTTCAAACTGAACAGTTGGTGGCTTTGAGTACATTTTTTGATGCATCTGGCATCTTTCACTTAGTGTTATATTTTGGGTTCAACCATATCGAAGCTTGTGACTCTGCTTTTATAAAATGTGTTCATTCTGCATGAGCCTGAGAAATGCTCTGTGCTGAGTCCTTGCCTGCCCGCCTGTCGCAGGCAGCCATCTCAGCTGTCAGTTTGGTGAATCGTTTTTTTCTGGAAGGTGAGCTTTTGATGTCCAGATGACTAATTTTTAACCAAACTCATCAGTACTTTTTGTAATAGTCAGGATTGATGGAAACAGGTAAATGATCTAAATTAAAGCATTCAAGCACTACACATACACTCCAAGGCGAGAGGCTGGAAAATGGTTCAGTGGGCACATGTGTAAGCTCCTGAATTTGGAGGCCAGTACTCACATGGAAAGTAAGTGTGGTGGCCAGTACTCTTGACTCCAGTATTGTGAGCAGAGATGGGCAGGTCCTGGGCCTTACTGGCTAGCCAATCTGACTGAGAGGTAGAGACAAACACCCAGAGTTTACCTCTGGCCTACAGCGCACACATACAGGTGAGTTTACTCATCTGTGTACATACAGCCTGCAATATCCCCCACAAATAATAACATAAACAACACCCCAAGCTGAGCCAACATCCAAAAATTTGGGATTTTTATTCACAGGGAAGTACCATAGGGAGAAGGTGACTGTTGGCCCACTAGATTTTTTTTTTATCCTGAAAGGACTTTTTCATTTCTTGCCAAGACTTGGGAGTGTGATGATGCTGATACTCTGTCTGGCAAAGCAGAGTGTGGCTGTGACCTTGGACATCTGCCTTGGGCTTACCACCCCCACCTTAAAGATTTATAGCTGTCACTTCATGTCATAATTTGTGCCACCGAAATTAGAGGAGAGGGAAAATGGCAGAGTTTTATGTTTTTTTACAAACGAATCCTGAATTGTGCAGGAGTACAGGTTGCTCTAAGCCTGTGTGGGTTCTGTCAGGCTTTCTTCTGTATTTCGTGGTTTCTGTTAGTTTAAACCATTTGTCTCTTTTGACCAGAGTCTCTTCTGTATAGCCTGGGTTCTCTTCCTACTTCAGTTTCTTAAGTACTGAGATGACAGGCGTGGGCCAACTTTTTTGTTTATTAATAGAGATTTATGCTTTGCTCGTGTGTCTGTGTGTGCGTGTGTGTGTGTGGTGTGTGTGTATGTGTCTGTGTGTGGTGTGTGTACTCATTTATTTCATCTTAGTTTGCAGGAGGGGAAAGGAAGGCCTGTGGCTTCTCACAAGGCAGTTACCTGTGCAGAACTTGTCTTGGATGTGTCCCCAAAGACACAGAGGGTCATCCTAAAAAAGAAGGTAAGAACTCAGAGGTTGGAGATGAGAGCCGGGGCTCAGTCTCATTTAGTTCAGAGTGTTTGACACTGGAGGAAATGGGTCAGGAGCCCTGGAGGCTCAGGGCTTGTGCTCCCGTTATAGTCATTGTATTCATGCTGGCTGCTTGATCCCAAGCCTTTTCAGTCCTTCTGGAAAGAGGCTAGTCCTGAATCTGAGATTTGTCATTTTTATTTTATTTTCCTCTTCTATCACTTCTCTTATCATCTCAAACTAACTAAAGGAAAATGTCTCACTGACAAGGAGCCCTTTCCATGTTCTCTGGTGAATTAGTGTAAGCAGAGCAAGGCACACCTGTGAGCATAGGAAATACTGCTCTTAGCTGGCCTAGATTTGGAGGGAAAAGCAGTAAGATTTGGTCCAAGATTTTAATAAATAGCAGGAAGACTGCTAGTAAACAGTTGAAACTGATAGATGATAAAAGTTAGGGACCTTGGAGCTACAGCAACGACTCTCAGGGGAAGAAGAGCACAGAGTTGTCTTTGGATCACATAGTTTAAATGCTACAAATGAAAAGGAGCCCTGAGGGAGGCCTGTGTCTGCACTAATATGCCGCCTGCCACATGTGGCATAGTGTCACTTGGTCATACCTGGCTTCACTTTGTGGTTTTGAAGATCTGGACAGGTTTCTAGTAGTTCAGGGCACTCTGAACACAATCAGTCTCATGGATTCCTCCCTCCCTCCTTCCCTCCCTCTCTCCCTCACGTCTAAAGGACTAGGACTAAATTGTTAGTGTAGAAGAATAGGGCATCCCAGGAAAGACGATGCATCTCCATTTTGTAAAGAGGAAGTTCTGCTTGTTTCCAGCTTAGGATAGGTAAGTCCCTGCAGGCCAGCTTCCCTCACTGGGCAGCCTGGCCCTGACTCAGCCTGTGGCATCTGAGGGACTTTCTGTGGGGGCTGGTGCTGTGGGCAGGTGTGAACACTGCCAAGGCTATGGGAGCTGCGTGTGGAGCTTGAGGCAGCAGTTAAAGCAGGAAGAACGGGGCTGTCTAGTTTGAGGCTGGCTTTCCCATCCCTCCTCCTGAGCTGCATTCTCTTTCTGTTTTCCTGGGGTATTGAAGGGACCACCTAAGACAGTGGTTTCCAACCTTCCTAGTGCTACGACCCTTTAGTTCAAATTCCTCCTTGTCGTGGTGACTTCCAACCATAACGTGATTTCCTTGCTACTTCATAACCATAATTTTGCGATTGTTATGAATTGTAATGTAAATATCTGATATGCAGGATGTCTGCTATGCAACTCTTGTGAAAATATCCTTTGACACCTCCCCCCCCCCAGGGGTTATGACCCACGAGTTGAGAACCACTAAAGTAAGATAATGTACATGTGGTGTGTCAGAAATGTGGGGTAAAAGCCTAGCACACAGTATGGAGCCACAGCTATTCCAGGCTCATACTGAGCACCCGAGTTTATGACATTTATCATAAGAACCAAAAAAGGGGTATAGTTTGCTTCTTTGACATGTCAGAAAGCAGACTCCGTGAGCTTGGTGCCTCATCCCCATTACTCGGGTGGTGAACAAGCCCATCTTGTGACTGCAGCCAGTCTCGGGTTCTGGCATCTTGACTCTGATGTTCACACTATACCCTTTGGTTTCTACTCTGTAGGATGTAGAATGCAGAACATTCTACTCAGTAGCAGAGCACTGCCCAGCCCTAGATTCAGTTACTAGCAAATGCAAAGAACTATCTTTGTGTGTGTGTACATGCATGTGTACGTGAGCGTGTGAGCCAGAAGTGTCTACTGTGGCGGTGAAGCTCCTACATGCTGGGAGTGCATGACTCTGAGAGTTGCATCTTGGGAGTTGTAACCCTTCATTGGGATAATGTGGCTGAGTTAGGGAGGTAACATTGCAGAACAGTTAAGGGGCTCTGTGATTGGACAGGAACAATTGGTCGCACTGCTTGCTAGTTGTGACAGCATAGGGAACATAGGGAAGTTACTTCTCACCAAGGCATAACTTCCTCATCTGTAAGGACAGTGACAGCATGCATTTTGTTGGATTCTTTTCATGTTTAAATGAGTTACCATACCAAGGCCTGACCTATAGCAGATTCTCATAAGTGTTACTACTATAGTATACAATGGATCATATAAACTTTCTTGACTGACCTAGAAGCCTAATTGTAGTATTTAAGTATTTTAGCAAAGAAAATACACTGAAAAATTAGAAGCAGTCAACTGGAAATAACCTTTAAATGCAACCAAATAAAAAATTGGTTAAAATTATTTTGCAAATATTGAGATGATAAGCAGTGGAAGTAGTGAGAGGTACTGCTGTCCCTGCTGTGCAGTTTACAGGGATGCCAGACACAGGGTGCTGACTTGCATATGTTCTCGGTGTAATTGGACTCTCCTCTTGACTGAAGACATCTGAGGTCATCATATGGAACTGTGGGAATTGTGGTAGGATAGCTAGGTAAGAGATTGCCCAGGCACTGGCTTCTGATTTTGTTTTTTATAAGGAAAAACACTAGGTGTGTATGTTATAAAAATTTCTTTTAATTAATCATACATGTACATATCTTTGTGTGGGCATATGAATTTATCAGTGCTTTGCCTGTGGAATCCAGAAAAGGTCCTCAGACCTCCTGAGATTTGTCCTTATACTTCCACACACATGCATCATTAGATACACATCCTGACGCTCAACACACACACACACACACACACACACACACACACACACACACACACAAAAGATGAAAAAGAGTTCAGCGTACTTCATCTAAGTCTAATTAGAAATTCACAATAATGAAATCTTAAGTTGGGTATTTATTTCTATGATGTGGAAAACTAAGTCCAGTTTCAACTGGAGAACCTCCATGACCTGTAGAGGGGGCTTGTGAGGGCTGGAGCTAGCTGTGGCCACATCTCTGTGTATCTGCCTTCCAGGAACCAGGGAAGCGCTCTCAGCTCTGGAGGATGACAGGGTCAGGAATGCTGGCCCACGAGGGCTCTGCAGTTCCTCACAACCCCAACAAGCCCTCAGCCACACGGTCCATCGAGGGGTCCGCCATCTTGGATATTGCTGGCCTGGCCGCTGTGACAGACAACAGGTAATCCGATGGGTAACTTCCTAGTCAAGCTTATTGCCTTCAAATTTAGACTGAAGAAATTTGCCCCTCAAAAGAAGAATTCTGTAAACTCTCCTGATAATTTGCCTTTTATTTTGTATTTTTTTTCCTTAATGGCTGATGCCTGTCAAATTCTCAAATATCATTTAATTTTAAAAATTATTGTGACAGTATTCATGCAGGTGTTAAAGATCAAATAATAAGATCTTTTATAGAAAATGAATATTTATTTTACTGAGAATTCCAGTTTACTCTTGCTTCTAAAAGTGAAAGTTTCTGTTCTGAAGTTTTTCTTTTCTTTTTTCTTTTTTTTCTTTTTTGAGACAGGGTTTCTCTGTGTGTAGTTTTTCTAATAATTTGTTGTCTTTTGAGAAGAATTAATTTTCTGGGTAGTGGGTGGTGCACACCTTTCATATCCCAGCACTTGGGAGGTAGAGGCAGAGCTTTCTGTGAGTTCAAGGCCACCCTGGCCTACAGAGTTAGTTCCAGGACAGCCAAGGCTGTGTCTTAGAGAGAGAGAGAGAAAGGGAGAGAGAGAATTTAATAGCATTATTGAGACATGTTTATATTATTGAGACTGTTTATATGAGTTACATTAGCTTAACTAAGTTTCTTTGTTTACCATATATTTGTTTTTCCATAAAATCAGTGTGTTTGTTTTCGATTGGTACCTTATTTAGTTCCAAAAAGGTGAAAGTTAAAACATAGTAAAAGTATTTAGAAATAGAACAGTAGTGACAGTTGAGAAGATTTTTAACTATTCAGCAGATACCTGCTCCCAAGTGCAAGATGGCTTGTCCCGTGAGACTGCCAATTCTTGCCTTGTGGATCTCCATTTGACTTTTCTCTAGTCGAGGCTCAACTAGGATGCCCATCAGATTGCAAGGAGGGTTGCTGGAAGGCAGAGGGGCAGAGCCTCAGGTTCTTCTCAGGCTTTGACTCAGAGGATTCATTGTCTCTGCCCAGATATGAGCCACTGATGCTGAGAAAACCAGACCGCAGACGCAGCACAACACAGACGTGGAGCTTCCGAGAAGGAAAATTGACCTGTGGCTTGCATGGGCTGGTTGTTCAGGTCAGTTGCTTTTGACGCCCTCTATTGTAGCTCCCAAAGGTTGAACTTTCCTCAAAATAAAGCATTACCTAGGTGAATTATTCAATGGAAAAATTAATTAGAGAGGATTACTCTCTAGTTACTCCATTTTTGTTGAAGGAAATCAAGAAACTTCTGCCGTGTGCGCATCTCAGTGTTGCTACATGGGAAATATTCCTAATTGAAACATAATCATATCACTTTCCCCCTTCCCTTTCCCTGCCCCAGCTACCCTCCCTCAAACCCTTCTCATGCTCTCCAACTTTCAAGTTGATAACTTCTTTTTCTTTGATTATTGTTACATGCATACATACATATGTATGTGCACAAGTGAATATAAATGCAACCTGCTGAGTCCACTCTTGTTCTGTGTGTGTCCTTTTAGGGGTGACCACTCTGCACTGAATAACTGATGTAGGCGACTCATTGCTGGGAGAGATAGTTCTCCTTCTCCCTGCAATCATTTGTTGCCCCCTTCCGTGTTGACGTGGTCATCGATATTCCCATGGTTCCCATCCTGTTCATGCAGCCATTTCTAAGAGAGATTTTCACAGCAGAATTCATGGCTCTTATAGCCCTTACAATCTTTCTACTCCCCTAGCGCCTGCATCTATGGCTCAGGATTTATTTTATTTTAGTTATGTGTGTGTGTCTGTGTGCATCTGCGTGTGGATGTGTACATCAGAGTGCTGGCACCTGCAGAGTGCAGAAGAAGATGTCAGATTCCTGGGAACTTGGCTTATAGGTGGCCATATGCTACTTGACGTGGGTGCTGGGAATTGAACTTGGGTCCTCTGCAAGAGTAGCAATCATACTCAACCACTGAACCTTCCCTTCAGTTCTATAGGATGTGTTCTTGAAGCTGATAGACCAAGTGTGTTAGAAGTAGCTGGATGATGGCTTCCCCCACCCTTTCTGTGTTTACTTTCTCTGAATTTTTTTCCCTGGTGATAGAATTAACTTTTTAAAAGAATGGGGAAGGGGAGTATTGGTTAAAAGCCTAAAACTAAGATGGATACTAGGATGGAAGCTACAGTATCTTTGTAAAGTGTAGGGGCTGGTCGTGAGCTGTACATCATTGTCCCTGTCATCATTGTCATCATTGTTGTCTCCTTCCTGTCCCCCACATCTCCTCAGTATTTAGCTTGCCAGTATCCTTTTCTTCCTTTTTAATTTTTTGATATTATATTGAAATTACATTACTTTACCATTTTCATTCCTTCAAACCCTTTCAAATCCATGCCTTCATTTTCTTTAATTGTTAAATATATGTATGCATGCACACACACACGTGTGTGTGTGTGTGTGTGTGTGTGTGTGACTTGTGTGTCTATGTTTTCAAGCTGACCATTTGGTATTGTATAACCAGTTGGTATATATACATGTTTTTGATTTTGCTTATTCTTAGTGGTATCAAAGTTAGCATTTTGTTGTAGCAAATGTGGCTACAACATATCAAGACTGATAGACATGATAGACATTTTTCTTATCCCTCAACTCAGCCAGTCTGTGGCATAATACATTTACACGGACTTTATCAGGGATTTAGATTTCTGCCCTTTCTCTCTCTGGGCTCAGTATGGGTCCCTGCATCTGAGGTGAACAGGTGGGAGGTGGCTTGGAGGGCTGAGCACATAGCAGAGCAACACAGTGACTGTGTGCACGTCTGCCCACCATGCGACTCACACAAAACTCAACAGCCCAGCAGCAGACCCACGACAGAGTTAGCGTTTCTCTCCCTGCTGGAGCGAGACGGTCCTCTCCTATGATGGTGTGTACAGCCACAAGAAGCCTCTTCCGTTTGGTGAGATTTATTTTCTTTACCTCTGTGGCCCTGAGCTTTTCTCATCAAAGGCCAGCTGCTTACTTATGTGAAGCTCACATCTGGAGTGGATTTGGGATTTTCAATTAGCAATACAATTCAGGCTTCTAGAGGCAAAAGAAGGCTTGTTATAATTGGTGGGTTCCGGGTCTGACCCTGACTTTACTTGTAGTTTTTTTTTTTTTTTAAAGCCCATGTAATTCCAATTTTCGTGGAGCATTTTCCTCCCGCCCAAATCCCTTTTTAATGTTTGTTGTTTCCTGGATCTGCCCACCATGTCTCTGCTGTGTTTTGGTTAGGGAATTGGGTTTGTTTCATTTCTATGCTAAATACAGCCATAGAATGCTTGCAAACGTTTCCTGACCTTCCCATTCCAGGTTATGTATATGCTTTCTAAACTTACCCTTATGAAAGGCTTTCCTTGTATTGAAGCCTATCCTATATACCTTTTCATCACCCAGGACTTAAAATGAACAAAGATGGGTGGGCTTGGTGGTACCTACAATCCCATCAGGAGACGATGGGTTTGAGGCTGCCCAGGCAACAGAGCCCTGTCTTGAAAACCAAAACTAAGAAAGAGGAAGAATTGCATTATGTGTTCTCTCTAGCTATGGTGTGTCCCTAAGGGCCTCACCTTGTCAACTTGCATTTTGTGTGGGGAAAACAGCGGGACTATGACTTTTTCCAAAAGTTTGCCGAATTGTGTGCCAGTGCTGTGTTACAGTTTAGATATGGCACTGACTTGGTTGTTTAGCCATCAGCCTGAGGGAAGCTTTAGCTCTGGAACTGGCTTTTTAATTGGAAAGCTGAGTGATTACTGATCATTTTGATAACCGTTAAGGTTTTTAGGCGAACCTCAATGATAATACGCAAACAAAGCTGGCTTTGGCTGCTTAATGAACTTATTTGTAGTGATTGAGATTTACTATAAGGTGGAGTAAAACCAAGCCACTCTGTAGGGTTACCTCCTACTGCATGTTTGTTAACGCAGTAAATGTACCTTGCCATTTTCCACAGACCTACCATTCTTACGCCTGTTAGACTGACACTGTGAGTGAGTCCCCACAGGGCAGTTTCAGTTCATTTGTCTCCCAGGTACTGTTTTGAATTGTCCAAGTCTTTGCTTTGGCCTTTTCTTGTATCTCTTTACTTTGACCTCTTTTAGGCCAAAGGAGGACTTTCCGGATTGTTTGATGGCGCTGAGGTTGTTCTGGGCCCCGACTCATCTGTTGAGCTGTTGGGACCAGTTCCACCAGAACAACAGTTTGTTAACCAAAAAATGAGGCCCGGTTCTGGAATGTTGTCCATCAGAGTCATCCCTGATGGACCGACTCGAGCACTCCAGGTGAGAACTGGAAGGACCGGCGAAGCCGCGTCTTTTCCTTCCCATCCCCACAGTCAGTCAAGTATTTAGTGAGTATACTCACACTGGATGTGGGCCGTGCTGCCCCCCTTTAAGAAAGGGCAGGGTCTCCAGTACAGTTGTGTGGGAGCTAGAGTGGAGTGGGTGCAGACATGAAGGTCTAGAAAGTCTAAAAAAGGCCTAGGAATGGACCAGTCACAGAGGAGATTTCTCATGCTCAGCACTCAAGAGACTGAGGCAGGAGGCTCACTTGAGTTCAAGGCCAGTCTGGGCTACACCAGAAGACCTTTATCTCCAAAGTTTACAACTTTCAATAGATAAGAAAAACACATAGTGCTGTCTATTCTCAGTGTAGTTAATTATACTGATCTTTTGAATAATCGGTGTGTGGCCCTTTATGAGTAGAGAGGAGCTGTCCTAGCCAGACAAGTGCAGTGCCGTGACATGAGGGAGGAGTATAGGGGGGTAGAGGGGACTGGGTTCCGAGGCTGAGGGAACCCCTACACAGTGGGATGCTCAAGTTAAGGACCAGCTTCGTAAAAGAGTGAACCTGGGGGAGAAGGCAAAGCCTGGTGGGCATGTTCACAGACAGGTCATTTACTGAGCAGCTATTGGAACCAGGCAGAGTTTCAGTCTATATAAGCCTGTGACACTTGCTGAGCTAAGGTGGCCTCATGATTCTATATGATGATGTTGACAAGCCATCGTGACTTCTGGCTGAGGCCTAAGGAGACACCAGTCATAGAGTAACAGGGAGCCGAGGGAAGTAAGACAAGAGTACTGTGTGCGCATTCTGATAAACACTTCATTCTCCACACCCTGATCTGTAGTGCCGCTGTACAGAGCAGTGCTGGCAAAAGCAAGTGCACAGCAGAGGCCGGCCTGCCTGGGCTCATGATGCCTGCCTGCCTGCCTGGGCTCATGATGCCTGCCTGCCTGTGCTCTGTGAGGCACTCAAGGTGTTTAGCTGAATAGAGTGCTATCTAGACTCAGAATTGAACCTGTTTCACGACTGCCAAGATCTTGCCATAGGTTTCCTGAGCATATAGTGACTTTGACCTATAGTTGGCATGGGAGTGTGAGCCCTCATCTTGTTCTGTTTTGACTTCAGATAGCAGACTTCTGCCAGCGGAAAAGCGAGCGCTCATCATATGACTCGGAGGAACTTCCTGTTACAGAGCAGGAGCTGCGGAAACTGAGGAATCCAGACACACAGCAGGAGCTGGAAGTAAGTTTACCAGTTTATTTATACACATGTGCATGTGTGTGGGCACGGCACGGCAGCACGTGGGAGGTCAGGTCTCACATTCCACCATTACCCTCTGAGCCATCTTGCCACCCCAAGCAGGAAGTTTTGTAAATGCTGCAGATTAATTTCCTTGGTCGTCAGTTGGTTGAGGATTTGCTCTGTGATTGTGTGAACTCTGAGTGTGGGGTGCTGTTGCGCTATGTTTACTGTTAACTACATGTGTGTTTATGCCATGTTGAGTGATGCCTGGAGCTTATGTGGGATGGTAGAATAACAGATGTTGCTCAAGTGAGATGACAAAAAGGAAGCTAAGTGACCCAAATTTTAATAGTATTTAGAGAAAGAAAAAAATTGATTTTTCCCCCCCTCCATCTGACTCAAATCCTTATCCCTTTCTCTATATTTGGGCTTTGGGAAGCGATGGCAGGTTTGAAATCAAGATGAGATGAGCATGAGGAAGTGTGCTTAACTGATCATGTTGAATGGGGTTTAATCAAATGCCAGTGTGGAGCCATGTCAGGTGCTGTGCAAGTGCACAGAGTAACCTGTGAGAGAGATTCTAGAACATTCACTCTACTGTATTTCACGACATCTGTGTGTGCTGGGTGAGGGCACCGCATTCTGACCTGGCTAATCTAACCTGGCCGAGGAATACATCTAAAGCGGAGGGCTTCCAGGGAGATGAGGACATCTGAGCCAGTAGGTGACTTAGTGAGGCTTCTAGGAGCTCTCTTATGGACAGTGCTTTGGTTTCCTTTCAGGTCCTTGTGCGGTTGGAAGGTGGAATTGGAGTCTCTTTAATTAATAAAGTCCCAGAAGAATTGGTCTTTGCAAGCCTTACGGGAATCAACGTCCACTACACCCAGCTGGCAGCTAGTCACATGCTTGAGCTCAGCATACAGGATGTGCAGGTACCAGGAAGAGAGTGTTGTCTTCCTGCTCTGTCTACATCTGCTCGGACAAAGTGCTTGGTGTATAAAAACACTTTAATGTTTTGGAGGAAATGTCTTATTTTTTTAATTACTTTCAATTATGCGTGTATGTGTGTGTGAATATGCACACATGAGCGCCAGTGCCACGGGGAGACAGAGCTGTTCCCTGGGATCTGAAGTTAGAGGCGGTTGTGAACCATTGAACATGTGTGCTGGGAACCATACCTGGGTCCTTTTCGAGAGCAAGTGATCTTAACTACTGCGCCTTCTCTCCAGCCCCTGGAGGAAATTTCTTGTGATCTTCACCCTGTGAAGTAGCTTCCACCCCAGTGAGTCTCACAAATTCTCTTTGTTTTTGAGATGGGATCTTACTCGATAGTCCTGGTTGGCCTGTATAGGACCAAGCTTCCCTGAAACTCACAGAGATCTGCCTGCCTCTGCCTCCTGAGTGCTGTCCTCAAAGGCATGGTCATTATCCCTGGCGCTAAAACTCAGAAGAAGAATTCCAAACGCTGTAGCTGATGTGTAAATAATGTAGATAGCTAATGGGGGTATGGCAGTGACGGCACATGTGCAGTATACTTGTGGAGGTCAGGGGACAAAGTCAATTCTGTCAACAGCCTCAGGTTTCCCATCTTACCATCTTAGAAGAAAGAACAGAGTCTTGTAGCCATTTCTTGGAGGAGTTGGGGTCTAAGACGACGTAACTGAGATTGCCTTTATTTTCCTATTGAGATAAGCCCTAAATCCACATAAACAACAACAGCTTCAGGACACTGGAAATGAAACGACAAAGGACAGTGACTGGTGGAAGATGGGAAATAAAAGCCGTGAATGTTGTAACTGACTTAGCTTGTGAACTTTCCAGGCTGTGGTGCTGGGAAAGGAGGCTACATCAGGGACCTGCAGAGTGGGAGTGTAGAGAAAGCAGAACTGAGCATCATACTGAGCATCATAGGGGTCGGCAGCTAAGTGGACAGCAGCGCACCTGTGGAGTGGGCTGAGGTTTGCCAGAGTGCCAATCACAGCTGGCTGTGAGCTGCACTAGAACCCCAGAATTTGTGGGACTTTGAGAAAAGTCTCAAGCAAGTCTTGCCTCCATGGCTTATTGGCTGCAGGTTGAACACTGCTCTGACCCTGTCTTGGAAATCATGAAAGAAAGATCTGAAAGGATCCCGGGAAATTGGCTGTGTCCCCAGCAAGCCTCCCACTGTATTGGAGTGCAAACATGTCCAGCACCCCACAAGGCTTACATCCTCTCAGTAGCTGCCATGTTGGTGAGCAAAGCAGCGCCTTGTGAGGGCGAGAGTGTCTTCAGATGGCTCCAGGGCTAACACAGTCGCTGCTAGAACACATTAACACTGGAGTTCTGTGTGTTTAAAAAGTTCAGTAGAGACCCAGAAAACCAAAACCCGACTTCAAAAAATGAAAATTTAAATGGATGTGTATAGCACACAACCTGGGTGGAGACTCTAGTTGGCCTTCCACGCCCATGGGCTCCATAGACACAGACCTTTCTCCATATCATTGCTTCCTAAGCAAATGGTAACAACCGCTTCTATAGCACTTACATTACATGAGGTGCTGTAAGCCATTTAGAGATTGTAAAGTTTGCAGGAGGCTGTGTGTGGCCGTGTGCAACTAACACTGCTCTATAGGCTACATCATTCATGGATTTTAGCAGAGAACCAATTCTCTGCCGCTATGAGGTATCATAGTCAGGTTGTACAAAACCAATAGTAAAGTGAGTCATGATTAAATACATTATATTCAAAGGAACGAAGATAACAAAGATAATAACAATAGATTTCTTGTTGGGAAAAATGCAAGTGGAAAGAGGTTAGCAATGTCTTGAAGTGTTGAAAAGGGACAAAAAGCTGTCATTCAAGAAATCTACTCCCAGAAGAAGTATCTTTCAAAAATAAGGGTGTCTCGGTCAGTGTTCTATTGAGGTTAATAGACCATGATCACAGCACTGTTTATGAAAGAAAACATTTAATTGAAGCTGCTTGTAGTTTCAGAGGGTTAATTAGTCCATTGTCATCATGGTAGGGAGCAGGTAGACATGGTGCTGGAGAAGTAGCCAAGAGTTTTACATCCCGATCCCCAGACATCAGACTGGTAGTGAAACTGGGCCTGGTGTGAGCTTTTGAAGCCTCAAAGCCCACCCCTAGTGACAGAGCTCCTCCAGCAAGGCCACACCTGCCAATCCTTCCCTGAACTGGGGACTAGATGTCCAGGCCTCTCTGGACATCCTCATTCAAAGCACCGGGAAGGGTAAAGTGAAGATGCTCTTAGACATAGAAATGATAAGGGGATTTATCATCACTGGCCACACTTCCAAAAGCATTAGCGAGCATTGCTCAGCAGACAGAAAATGGTGCTGATGGGATTGGTGTCGCTACAAAGTAGAGAAGGAAACCTGAAGTGATGGGATGACCAACCCGGCGTCTCAAGTGAGTCTCCAGCATGGCAGCTCTGCTGTGCTCTGTACCACATGGGAAAGTGAAATGTTCAGCATCAGTGGTGTGAAGTCTGCAGGGGCGAAATGGAAGTAGAGCGCTGAAAGTCTGTACACGAAGTGCTGTGATGCCATTACAGCATTAGAGCAACACGTTGACTTAAGTATTGTAACCCTCCCAAAATGACAACAGTTGTATGCAATCAATAAAGTGGATCCAAGAGAAGGCAGAAAGTGGGGAGGTGACATGTGGGATGGATAGCAAGCCATAGCAGGACGGCAGGCAAAAACTTAATGGTTCCAATTGCCCCATGAGTAACACACATTAGCAGGGCCTGTAATCAGCATGGAGGCTGAGGCAGGAGGATCGTGTGTTCAAGGCCAGCATGTGCTACATAGTGAGACCCTGTCTCCAACTCCCCACCCCCATTTGTTAGCTATAAAGACACAAAAAGGACCTGGGGGAGGGGCGGGGGAAAGCACACTACACTTTTAACTAGTCTCGAGGAAGGAAGTAGGAGTCACACTGATTAATGTCAGAACAAAGAATATTAGCAGAGATAAAGAAGGTAATTTCCTAATGATAGGAGAATTAATTAATCAAGAGGACATGACACATGTGAACACTGATATGCCTAATCACAGACTCTAGCCTTCTGACATTGTGACACCGTGTCATCTCTGGAAGCCTCACTTGAGAACTGTGCAATTGAATCACAAAGAAAGAAACCGAAAGAAGAAAAAAGAGAAATCTCCGAATGTTTTACTATGTTTCATGTTCTTTGCGTTTGTAGCTGTTCTGGGCTGCATGCATATGGCTGAATACACCTGATTAGAAGTTCAAAATAAGTAAAGAGAGCTGGTGAGATAGCTTGGTGGATAAAGGCACTTGCTGTCAGGTCTGTTGAGAAGTGACCTCCATGAGGTGTCCTCTGACCTCCACATACAAACACCAATGAGTTGTGTATTCATCCTGGTGTATGCAGGGTGAGCAAGAGACCCGTCTCAAACAAGGCAGGGACTGACACCCAAGGTTGTCCTCTGACCTGCACACATGTGACCATACATACACAGGCACAAAGGTTTAAAAAAAGAAAAATTGAAGGAGATCAGTAAATATAAGCAGCAAGGAAGGAAACAAAACAAAATAAGACACTAAATATTTAAAATCTATGAACATCTATGATTGCAGTAGAAAAAAAATGAGTAAGATCAGAAGTCGCCTTTGGGGTCTGGAGAGACTTCTCAGCCTTCAGAGTTTGCAGAGGGCCAACATCTCTGCTCTCTTACCCTTAAGGAGTTAGGAGTGAGGGAGGAGCATCAGCAGCACCCCAGTAAGAACCCTGGCCTTGGGCAGGACAGGCCTAGATGCAACCAGTTCTGTCATTGGTTAGTTTGGGCAAGGGCTGCCCTTTACTGCTCCACCAATAAGCTAGAGACCTGCACCTAGGCGTCATGGTACGTGACCAGCATCGTGCAAGGCACTGCAGGTTGTGATGTGTGTGGTGACCCAGTTTTTGGGCATGATAGGGCTACTCATCTGGTGCATTAAGGGTTTTTTTTTTTTAATTTTTATTTTGAAATTGTTTTTTAATTGGCAAATTTTTAATTGTGTCAAATATGAAATTTTAAATATGTATGTTTTATACAGTGGTTAAATTGAGCTAACTTCGTCTTTACCCACCTAAGGAAGTGTAACTCCCTTGTTATTTCTATTATTACTATGTTATTGTCGATAAAATTTTTTTTATTTATTTTGTGCATTTATATGTGTGTGTATACAGCACTGTGTGTGTGTGTGTGTGTGTGTGTGTGTGTCTGTATGTCTGTGTGTGTAGGTCAGGGGGCAATTTGAGAGAATCCTCTCTCTCCTTTCACCACATGGATACTGGAGATTAAACTCATGTCTGTGACCTTGGCAGCAAATGTCTTTATCTGTGGAGCCATCTTGCTGGCCCTGTTGTTATTTTTGAGACAGGGGCTCACCGTATGGTACAGTCTTGCCTCAAGTTCTCAGTTCTCCTGTTCCACTTTGCTTAGAGCTGGGATTACGGGTGTAACCGCATTGCCCATCATCGTCATCATTGGTCTTAGATGAGAATGTGTGTGTACTCTTGCTGTTAGGTGGTGGGATGACCAGGGGACTCTTGAGTAGCCTACATAGGATGAGGCAGCAGTCAAAGGTAAACTATGGCACTAAGCAGCTCATCTTGTTTGTCTTTGTTTTGCTGGTTTTTTTTCTGCCCCAGGTGGACAATCAGCTCATTGGTACCACTCAGCCCTTCATGCTCTACGTGACGCCCTTGAGCAATGAGAATGAGATCATTGAGACAGGCCCTGCTGTGCAAGTCAATGCGGTGAAGTTCCCCAGTAAGAGCGCGCTGACCAACATCTACAAGGTGGGCTGGCAGGGAGGCTGGGGGCGATGGCATGTAGGAGGCACATTTGCTCTGTCATAGCCAGGTTACAGAGCAAGAGTAAGCGGCAGCATGGTGTGCGCACAAAGGTGGCTCTCAGGGCCGAGCCACGTGTGGCTTATCTGACCGCGGAGGGAAATGTTAGGAGCGCCCTCTCTTGGCACCCCGTACCCTCGTTGTGTCTGCATTGACTTTGTAACTGAACCGTTGGTAGTACTGAACCATGGAGGCCAGAGTCTTCATTCCTGAGGGAAGCAGTATCTTGTAGGCTGCTGCGATCTATTATTAAGGGGTACTTCTGAAGTGCTGTGAGGGTCTGACCTTGGGACAAACAGCATGCTGTGTAAACTTCCATGCTTGTACTATCAGCAGAGAATTAAAAATGAGAGCTCTCTCTGACCTAGAGGGGTCCCCAGGTAGAAGCCAGCTGTGATAGCAGCAAGCCACAACCGTGGGAGCCCTCCTTCTGGTCCTTCGTCATCAGTGCTGATGGGGCCAAGCCTACCTTGAGCCCTCCATCATAGATCAGTAGATTAGCTGTCCTCTCCCTGGCGAGGCCCTGGGGACCAAGCAGAAGGGTGCCCAAGTGTCTCCTGAGTACCTGGAGTTCTGTTCACTCTAACGAGGCAAAGAGAGGCGAGCCACGCATCATTAAATCACGCAGGCAAAGAAGCCTTGAGCTAGGGTCTTGCTGTGCTGCTCAGGCAATCTGGAAATCCTGAGCTCAAATGAACCTCTTGCCTCAGCCTCCCTCAGTAGTTAGAAAGCTGCTTCGGTGATTGCCTATAAACCGGGTTTTCTTTCTCTCTAGCATCTCATGGTCACGGCCCAGAGGTTCACAGTGCAAATCGAGGAGAAACTGCTGCTCAAGCTACTAAGTTTCTTTGGCTACGACCAGGCAGAATCAGGTAAAGCTGAACACTCTACACTTTTGCCTGAGATTGGGTCACAGTGATGGGTTAGTCTGTGTGTAAAACGCAGATAGTCGGTCCCTAGATGCTAACCAAGCTGGCTCTGCCTCCTAGCCCGAGCTAGCAGGCTCAGGATTGCAATTCAGCAACTCACTTTCCAAACCTGCTTTTTTGTTTGAGTCATATCCTTGTCCTCAAGCTAAGCATACCAAGAGGGCCAGGGTGTCCTGCATTGTCTGGCAGCTGACTAGGAAGTCGAACACCCTGCTCTGCGCTTTGCAGGTTCTGTTCCTCTGTTCTCACAGAACAGAATGATGACCATCAGTTAGCAGGCCACTTTGTTTAGGGTCAGAAAGGCCTTTTTGCTGGTTGCTTTGGTTTAGTTTGAAAAACAAAAACTGCCTAACCTCTATCATTGGTTTTTGACATCTGTACCCCTGTGCCTTATACCACTACAAAGGTTTTCTTGTTGATGCTCTCTGCTCTTTGGAGGGGGAGTCAGATCGCTGTCAGAAAGTTTAAGTTTCCTGAGGGCTGAAGGGAGAGTTCAGCTGTTGTCCGCAGTTTGCTCATCACAGCCCTTTCTCTTGCCTTAGGTGACTACTTAGGGCTACAGCTAAGAAAGAAGCCAATGGCACACAATCTTTTGCAAGTCTCTCTCTCTGTCTGTCTGTCTGTCTGTCTGTCTGTCTGTCTGTCTGTCTGTCTCTCTCTCTCTATCTTTCTCTCTCTCTCTCTGTGTACCTGTGGAGGCCAGAAGAGGGGATCAGATCTCCTGAAGCTGGAGTCATAGGTGGTTGTGGGCTGCCCAGTGTGGCTGCTGGGATGTGAACTCAGGTCCTCCAGAAAAGCAGGAAGCGCTCTCAACTGTTTGTTTGTTTTGAGACCGTCTGTGTCTGTAGTTCATGCTCAAGCTCATGACCTTCGCCTTTTAAAACCTAAACTGAAGAAATGATGGTAAAGAGGCTTTTGGTCTTGTCTGCATTTGTCTGCCATGTTGGCTAGAGGGGTAGTGTAAATGCACACCCTCAATGCAACAAAAACATTTTTGTATTTATACTCTCAATTTAGAATTCAGCCTAAATCTCCAGCCCCACAAATAAAACAGAATGAAGTTTTAAGAGTGTGTAGGCTTGTCTAGGGAGTCTGCTCAGTGCTACAACATGTAGGGAGCCCTGTGCTGATTCCTTAGTGCCTCAAAAAAGAAAAAAGTAAAAGCCTGATGGAGACAAGCATTTGGGGAGAAGAGCAAGGCCCTGTCTGTCTGTCTGTCCAGTGCTATGCCTTCCCCTTGCCTTAAGCTTCAGTTTATTTGGAGTCAGGCAGCCACCTGAGTGCCCAACAGGCAGGCAGGTGGGCAGGTAAGCAGGCATTCTGTTGGTCCCTCCCCAGTAAGATTCACTTTTGGTTTCATGGGTCCTGCTTTTCTTGTGTCCCCCTAAGTCCCTCTTGGACATCTCGTACTGCATTGCACAGGACACTCAGGCTTTTGTAACGACCTTGTCTGCCTTCCATAGCTCTTCCTCCATTTTCAGAAGCCAGTTCTGTTTCCTGAGTATGGAAGGCAGCTCTTCCTTGGAGCATCCTTGCTTTGAGTAGAACTAATATCCCCTTTGACTGGGAATATACTGACTAGCTGTGAGCATTGTCTCTGGTTTTCATTGGGAGACACAGGAAGCTAAGGGGATCCTGCTGCCTGAATGGATACTATGCATCTCCCCATATGAAGAGTACATTGCTGTTCTAGCCCATGTCCCTCCTCTGTCCTCTGCCTTAACTACCCTGCTTCTGAGACCCGCACTGCTGGGGAGGATGCTGCTGGGAGGTAGCTGTCCCAGCTCTCAAGAACAGGGTTGTTCATAGTATTGTTTATGTTGAGAGTATCACTCTAGATCCATATGATCTGGATCATAGGTACTAGTAGTGAAAACGATAGTTCTGGAAAGTCTGTTTCCAGCAAATGAGCCTGTGACCTTTGGCTTTCCAAGATGCTATCTGCTGGGTGGCACAGAGTCACAGGTTAAGAGATGAAGCTAATCCAATCCAGTTTACAATGAATAACCCAGGTAAAAAGCTGCTTTTATATAGAAATGGCATCTGGATACTATCTGCATTGCTGAGCCCACAAGAAACTAAGGGAGCGAGATGCCTACATATTGTTTGTATAGGTTTTTATGTTTGAATCATGGTGCCAACAGCTTTTGGTTTTGTTTTTTTTACTGCTGCCATTCTACCAGAGGTGGGGAAATATGATGAAAACCTCCATGAAAAGTCAGTGGAGCAGGGGGGAACCCCAACTCGATACTACTTTGAGAATCTCAAGATCAGCATACCCCAAATCAAACTGAGTGTGTTCACATCCAACAAACTGCCCCTGGACCTCAAGGTGAGCTGATGGCTGTGCGCTCTGGGGAGTGTGTGTTGATTATTCACTTTCTCTGACTGGAGTTAGGATCCATTGCATTCATTTGGTACCTTTCCTTTTACAGATGTTCATTAACTCATGTATAATGTTACCTTATAACTTTGCTAAAGATCAGGGCATTACTAAAAAAGGATAAAACAGGATGATGCAACACCCATCTACTCTTTGGAAAGCTCTAGGCTTACCTCAGAGCAATAGAAACCTCTTCCCTGGGCTTGGCCCAACTTTTAACTGAGACCAAGACAGTCTTTCATTTGACCCACTGCCCAGGTCCCTGTTGCTCGTTTCTGAGCATCTGTTTCCACTGTGATGGCCATTAGAGGGAAGGTCTGCTATCTTCAAGTGAGACTCAGCTATAAGCTTGCTGGGAGGTGGCCTTGTCCAGCTTCAGGTCACAACCCTGCTACGAACCATCTGATCCATAGTTGACAGTTACAGCCTCAGCACCACTTTCATTCTGAGTAGCAAAGCATATTTTAAGGAAGGGAGAGGGCTGACATTCAAATCCAGGTCTGTGTCACCTCTGCGTGCCCCACTGTACTGTGCCACCCTTCCCCAGGCACAGGAGGACGTTGTTAGACTACACCTCCTCAGTGGTGCCCTTCTGCGGTAGGTGAGAAGTTGGAGCTCATCATTTGCATTTTCATCCTGTGTAGTACCAAGGTGACACTGGGAGCAGGATCAGGGAGGTGGTTGTTGAAATGCCTTTCCTTGCTTTGACTCTAAATCTGCCTGCTCAGATGGGCAGCCATTGCTTCTGGTTCTTCCTTGTGACATGCTTGAAGACAGTTGTCCAACCGCCCCTCTTCCCTCTGCACACTCAGTTTCTGCACTGGCGCCTGACGCCTTCTCTCAGGAGACCCAGGACGCCACCCTCTCTCCACGGAGGAACGCCTAGATAGCTGGAAAGTCTTGAGCCTGCAGTGTTGGGTTCAGATGCCCATGCAGGTTAGGCTGCAGGTCGGCCTTGTGGTGCAGTTGTATGAGGAGGGGCTGCAGCACGGCCCCAGTGCAACCCATTGCTGTGGATGGGCGAGTAAGAACCCAGCTCTGCCAAGTGTTCAGGTTTTTAAAGCAAAGCTTGGAAGCTGCATTTTTATATGGAATCTCCTGGTTTGTAAATGTTGGCAACCGGTTCACATTTCTAAAACAACAACAACAACAACAACAACAACAAAATAAAACCCTAGCTTTGTGGGCCTGACAGAACACATGTGTGGGCCTCATGTGCCACACCCTGCCAGCTCTCAGCTTCTAAAATAGACCCGTAGGTGATGAGACAGCTGTCTGCTCTGCCTCAGATTCTAGAAGAGGTTGGGATGGGGTGATGGCCTCAGTGAGTGCGGGCAGGGGAGGGCCAGCAGGGTCCAGGGCAGCATCCTGGGAATTGTGGCGCTGTACCCTTCTCTCTCTGCCCTGCTGTTTTATCTGCCCTAATGTGTTTCCCAGGAGGCTCAAGATGCTTATAATTACCCAGGGAGTGAGGGGAAAACCATGGGAAAACTACTGTCTTGCTAATATCCACAAGTATCCACTTGACTTTTGTGACCTTTGGAACGGGTTTGTTTGATAAAGTCTGTTCCCCCAGAACACTTGGCTCTCACCCAGCAAACCAATGCTAAGCATTTCCTGCAAGTGGAAGACTTTTTGATTTAAAATCTTTTCGTTAAAGAGCACAGGCCACCCCACCCCACCCCGGCATTCCTCTCAGAGTGCTCCCAGCAGAAGAGCCTGGTCTCCAGTCCTGGGGTACCCGTGCCATGTGTGCTCTGCAGTCCAATGCCATGTGTCCCCTGCAGTCCTGGGGTACCAATGCCATGTGTGCTCTGCAGTCCTGGGGTAGCGATGCCATGTGTCCCCTGCAGTCCTGGGGTACCAATGCCATGTGTCCTGCAGTCCAATGCCATGTGTCCCCTGCAGCCCTGGGGTACCAATGCCATGTGTCCTGCAGTCCAATGCCATGTGTCCCCTGCAGTCCTGGGGTACCGATGCCATGTGTGCTCTGCAGTCCTGGGGTACCAATGCCATGTGTCCCCTGCAGTCCTGGGGTACCGATGCCATGTGTCCCCTGCAGTCCTGGGGTACCGATGCCATGTGTCCCCTGCAGTCCTGGGGTAGCGATGCCATGTGTCCCCTGCAGTCCTGGGGTACCAATGCCATGTGTGCTCTGCAGTCCTGGGGTACCAATGCCATGTGTCCCCTGCAGTCCTGGGGTACCAATGCCATGTGTCCTGCAGTCCAATGCCATGTGTCCCCTGCAGTCCTGGGGTACCAATGCCATGTGTCCCCTGCAGTCCTGGGGTACCAATGCCATGTGTCCTGCAGTCCAATGCCATGTGTCCCCTGCAGTCCTGGGGTACCAATGCCATGTGTGCTCTGCAGTCCTGGGGTACCAATGCCATGTGTCCCCTGCAGTCCTGGGGTACCGATGCCATGTGTCCCCTGCAGTCCTGGGGTAGCGATGCCATGTGTCCTGCAGTCCAATGCCATGTGTCCCCTGCAGTCCTGGGGTACCAATGCCATGTGTGCTCTGCTGAAGAGAGCCCAGTCCTTCAGGCTGATTCTTGGCACCCACCCTACTGGAGGACTGTTTTCAGAGCACCATTAAGCAGATGCCATGGCACACCTGTGTTTCAGGCAGGGTGTTGGGAATTGAGACTTTAGAGTTGAACTCTGGGCTTGTGGAAGTCACCATGTTGCCATACCTTGAGTGTTCCTACTGGAGTCTGGGGCTCCTAAGGTAATATCATTGATTCGGAGTTTCCTAACAGAGTAACAGCCCTTTATTAGGAGCTCTTAGGAAGGGCAATATGCTCTTTCTGATGAATATGGATGGAATCACTAAAAACATGTGCTTAGGAAATGAAGCCTTCTCCCTGAACAGCAGCCGCAGGGGTCTGACTCAAAGGTAAGCCTGTCTTAGCATTGAAGGAACAATTGCTTCCATTCTCTGGATTCCCAGGCAGGAGTGAGGCTGTCAGAAATCTCAGAGGGGGGCCTTTCCAGGTTTACACTGAGGTACATTGTTGCTAGATACAGTGTCTGTCTGCTGACTCAAAGGCATCCTGGCTGTCGGGGTGATTCGAACCCATCTGCATCTGCTATGTCGGTTGGATTCATGACTGACAGAAGAAGAGAGGCTAACATTCCATTTCATAGAGACAAGCACAGCCGTCCCTCCCGTCATTTCATGCTCTGTGTGGAGTTTGCATGTGGTCATATTGAAAAACCAGGTAGCTTCTATATGGGGGTTTCCCCAACTCCTTTAAAGATCAAAAGATACCAGGGGGTCTTTAAAGGGTTTCAAAAGGTGGCCTACAGCAGGCCTTTTCCCATTTAGAGCATTTGGGTATAACAAAAGAAGGACCTTAATTGAGCAATCTAGTTTGGAAGAAAACCCACACTTTAATGGTCAGAGAGCGAACGGGCGGGGGCAAGGGGGGATTTCAAACAAAGACACTATTTAAAAAGCCTAAAACTGTCTTCTCAAAGGCTTGAAATAATTTGTTGGGAAACTTCAGACCCTTTACTTTTTCCCTCCCCTCCCTAAATAAAAACCAGATTTGTTAAAAGGAAAAAAGATCCAGTATTGTTAATTGTGTTTCAGAAAGTGCCAGAGAGGGAAGTAGCCCCATAGCTTTAAACACTGTCCCCAAAGGGAAATCGGCAAATACCCTGCTCCACATAAACAGTCTCTATGTGCCATAAATAAACCTTTAGAGAATGAATTCCAGACAGTTTTGTTTAGTGTGGGATAAACTAAGAAAGGAAAGGACAAGGCCCAGGGACTAGCTGTGATCTGAGGCCTTGTGGACAGGTATTTCTTCTTTCTACTTGGCGCCCCGTCTCTGGAAGGCTTCAGCCGTTTTGTCTGGGAGGTGGGAGTGAACGGTTTCCTATTTTATTAAGAACTTATGAGCACAGGGTTGCTTTCTCCAGAATCCATTTTACAACAGGAAACTGCTACTCGAGTAATTAAGTGTCAGTGCCGCGTCCTACTGTATGTGAGGAGTCCCTCGGTCCCTTGGAGGGAGCAATCCTGTGTGGCTCTTTCCTCGTCATGCCTCCTTCCAGTGACCACGCCGGCCTGAAGATGGCAGAGTCATTCATACCAACAGGCTGGCCTGTGCCTTTGCAAAGAAGGGACCCGGGCAGTACATGACTAGGTGAAGACAGTTTCACTCCAGCCTGGGGACTTCCTTGGTTCTAGGGCGGATGGTGCCTGTTGTGAGGCCTTGGCAGCCTAGAGGTCAAAGGTCCTTGTGGCAGTGTACCAGTCAAAGGTTCTTTAATGTTAGGTTGTTTTTGTTTTTTATGTTAGTTTTTTTTTTTTTTTGTCATTGTTGTTTGTTTTGTTTTTTTTAAAGCTTTTGTTTAACACTTCCTATTTCCTGAGAAGAAAGTAAGACCATGTGTCCACACTCCATGTCCCTTTCACACTCCATGTCCCTGTCACACTCCGTGTGTCCACACTCCATGTCCCTTTCACACTCCATGTGCCCAGGCTTTAGTCCCTTTCACAGCATGCTTGGCCTGAGGCTGGGAATGAAGGAGTTAAATTGGCTGACTGTCATTTTTTTCTGTCAGTGAAATGAGGGAGATCCAGGCACGCTCTCTTTTGTGCCCACTCTTTACTGGGCACTCAGGTTGAGGGGGGTGGGCGGGTGTGGTCAAATGAGTGGTAAATAGTTTTGAGAAGAATTTTTTTTTTTTCTTTTTAAGCTGGCCTCTCTGGCCTGTGTGCTTTCTATCAAAAAGGTAGAATAGGTAGCTGCTGTTAAAAACAACATATTCAAGTCTGGATTCTGCTCATAGCTAGTCATATGACTTTAGGTCATGCACTTAGCATATCTTCATTTTGGATGGCAAGATGGGTTAGGATGGCCTTGAACTTAGTCTGTACCCCGGACTAGTTTTGAACTGGTAATCTTCCTGCCTCACTTTTTCAGGTTTTAGAATTAGAGGTGTATGCCACCAAACTGGCAACTTAGTTCTGGGTCCCTAAAATTAATTCTTTCTTCTGGTGTTACCAGTGACATCCCGTGGTACCAGAGCAGTGTTCTTCTCCTGCCTGTCTCTGTCTGGTCCTCTGCAGTTTGGTATTAGACTATGTTTGTGCCATGTTTTTTCGGGCTCTCCTTCCTCTACCATTGCTCCTTGGTATGTTCTGGTGGTTATTTTTTGTTTGTTTTTGTTCTTCTCCAGAATAAGCACTTGGCTTCATTCTGTGAACTGTCTGTTCCTAGCACTGGCCAGGTTCCTGACAGGTTATTGGTTTTTATCTCTTCTCATTTTACAAACTCTTTTTTATAAAAGTCTTGTCTTTGGTGGAAGTAACAAGTGTTTTTCAGGGCTTAATTTGTCCTTTTATTTTGCTGTGTGTGTGCCCATTTGTGTATAGAGGCCAGAAGACAACCTTAAGCATTATTCCTCCAGACCTAGCCACCTTGTGTTTGAGATAATGTCTCTCACTGACCCAGGCCTTGCTGACAAGGGTAGATTGACTGGCCAGCAAGTCCCAAGGATCTGTCTGTCTCTGGAGTATCAAGTACAAACTGCCATGCTCTGTGTGTGTGTGTGTGTGTGTGTGTGTGAGAGAGAGAGAGAGAGAAACAGAAACAGAGAGAGTGCGTGTGTGTGCGCGCGTGTGTATGTGTTTGTCAAACATGATGGGAGTCTTAATGAGATGGGAAGGCTTTTGAAAATACAGCAAAGTTCATAGTAACAAATCCATTTATATAAAATGCAAATCAGAAGAGCTTAGTCTGTGGAGGGAGGAAAGGGTATTTGTGTAGAGGGCAGGTCTGCTTTCTTAACTGGGTCCTGAAGCAATGGCTTACTTAGTGGTTGTAGGTATTGTAAGCAAGAGGACTGGAGTTGTGGTCCTTAGAGCCCCACATAAAATGATGAGTTGGCTTGGCATCCTACCTGTAGGTTGGGTTTTGGAAAGCACAAAGGAGATCCCTGGAGCAACCTGGCTATTAAGACTGGCTGTCTGGGAGCTCTGGGTTTGATGGAGAGTTGACAAAGATTTGGTATCAGCATCAGCTTTGCATTTCAACACATGTGCACACTCTTTGCCCATTACCTCCCCCCCCCCCTCCCAGGAACAGGCAAGTGAAGATAAGAGGCAGAAATGTTAAAAAAAAAAGAGAAAACAATTAAGTGTTGTGTGGTAATGTGGTGTCCCTGTGCAGTTTACATTATTGAAAAAGGAGAACTAGGCAAACATAGGTTCCAAACAGACTGTGAGGCTAACAGTGTTTGCTGTTGTAATGTTATATTTTACTTTTGTAATTTTAGGAGAAATCCTTATGTCTAAATGTTAATACATAACTTATAGTTTGTCATGGATTCTAGAATTATAGTGCCCCAGGAAATCATCCTGTCTCTGAAGTTTGAAATTTCTTTTCTTCCCTAACTAGGCCCTGAAAAGCACCCTGGGATTCCCACTCATTCGTTTTGAAGATGCTGTGATCAATCTGGACCCATTCACTCGGGTGCATCCCTATGAGACCAAGGAGTTCATCATCAATGACATCCTTAAGCACTTCCAAGAGGTGTGCATGCAGACAGGGAGTGGTGGAGTGGTGCAGGGCCACCCAGGGCCAAGCAGCTTTGTTTTGGGTGTTGGAAATCTGTTACTAAGATGTCACTGTGGGTCAGGTCATGCCTCTTACTTCCCCCATAGTTATCCTGAGAATCCTAAGACTGACTTATGGTCTGTTTGTCTTTTTCCTCAGGGCCAGTCCCAGGGGCTTCCCTTGGTTAGTCACAGCTCTTAGTGGCTTAGTTGATGCTTCAGTAACAGCACAGAGTACTGTGAACTCTTTATGTATGTACCAGGCATGGCCTGCTTTCAACAACTGCACCACTGTTCTTAGTGCTTCTGAGATCTTGACCTTGAGTTGAACTTGACTTTTTTTTTTTTTTTAACCAAACTGGACATTTTCCATTTTGCATTTTTAAATATGGATTACACAGCCCCAAATCTAGAACCTTTAATGGGTCATCATATTATGCAAAGGTTTCCCCCCCCCACACACACACAGTCAAAGCTTACTCATTTCCTTCCCTAACTGGAGCCATCTTCCCTTCTACCTCTAGGGAGGTGCACAGCAAGTACTCAGGAATCAGGCATCAGGCAGGCAAAGGGTCCAGTGGGGATTTGCTTGCAAGCCAGGCTCCCTGTCTCCTCGAATGCTCCAGCTGAGTGTGCACTCCAGAACCACCCCTCCTTGCTCCTGCCGGATTCTCCTAGCAGGGATGGTGGGAAGGAGAGTATGATGCTGTTCATAAAAACCCCAAAGAATCCTTCCAGTCTCACAGCTGCTTTTATTCTCCTAACTGGCCGTGAAGCATATTTATTAGTATATTGAAAACAGTCCCCCAGGGTGTGTGTTGGGTGAAGTTTAGGAGCATTCATGAGAGCACAGGAGGTCATTGCTGGGTGAAGAAGATTAAAAAAGTCATTGACAGTCCTGGAGGATGAGAGAGAGCCCTTAACCTCTTCCTGGGACACTGGCACTGACATGGCTTTCCTCCCCCATTCCATCCCACAGGAACTCCTCAGCCAGGCAGCTCGGATCCTAGGATCAGTAGACTTCCTTGGCAATCCCATGGGCCTTTTGAATGACGTTTCTGAAGGGGTCACAGGACTGATAAAGTATGGAAATGTCGGGGGCCTCATAAGAAATGTTACCCATGGAGTGTCAAATTCTGCTGCCAAGGTAAGGGAATGCGGATGGAATCATGTGATGAAACCCTGTGATTAGCCTCAAGCAGCCTCTGTGTCACTGGAGTTTCATTGGTGGTTAGCTGGCTTGGAGAAGCCACAGTCACAGCCTCTCCCTCCTTGCTGCAATGCCTTGCCGTGCCTCTGCTGTAGAGGTCTGCCAGCAGGGCCAGTGAGCATGCTCCAAATCGTGTTTCTTTCCCCTCTCCTGGCTCTGCAGCATGCCTGTTCAGTTCCTGTGTCTCCTGACCCTTGCCTGGGCTTTGTGTACCCTTCCCGACACCAACAGAATGAACTAGCTTTTTTTTTTTTTTTTTTTTGGTAATTATGAAATTGAGGGGTTAAGGTTGTGGCTCAGTTGGATGACACTTAGCCTAGTGCACCGAAGGCCGCGGGCACCATCCATAATAAAAAGTAACCCCCCCCAAACCAAACAGTATGAATTGAGCTACACCTTCTATCTGAGATTTATCAACTAAGCCCCACAACTCCATGGAAAGTCTGAGCTAAGTGGGCTCCAATAGTATAGAGGCCCTCCAAGCCGTGTGAGCCTAGCCGTGGGAGGACAATGGGGCTGCTCTCCTGTGCTTTGCACTGGCATCTTGCTTGGTGGGCATTATGGTGGTCTATTGTTGGGCTCTGTGTGTGAAGGTGGCCGAGTGCAGAGCTATTCCGTGGCATATGCGAATTGTCTGAGAGCCCACCTTGTTCCCCAAAAGCCTCTCTCCTCCCTGTTCCTCTCTGCTCCACCATCTGTTCATATGGACACTGTCCTGTCAATCATGGGGGAAGCCTGAGGAAGCACTTGTGGGTGCTTCCGCTCCTTCCCATCGGCCTGACTCCTGTGAGGCCCAGGGCTGCTGGGAAGAAAAGTGGCTGTGGTAGGGCACCCCCACTCCCACATCCCCCCATGCTTTGGAGCAGGTGGAAAGGTGCAGTTGAATAGTTTCTCTGTTTTGTGTTCGTTCCTGTTCATATGGTGTGTGGGGCAGTGAATGAGTGTCTTTTTCAAGAGTGCCACCAGGGAGGACAATCTCCCTGGGATCAGCGTCTCTGAGGCTGTGGTGTTTCTGGGTCATAGCAGAAGTGTTTGCTCTGTGGTTCAACACAAGCAAGTCTTGCTTCAGAAGAAGGGGAAGAAGAAGAAGAAAGAGAATTTTTAGAGCACAACTTGCAAGAGTTAGCGCTGGGGCTGAAAGGTGGCATTCATCTCTTTGGGAGAGTGTCTTAGGCTGCCCTCAGCCATGTACATCATAGTGCATCGCAGCTCAACTTCCAAGCCCTTCATTTAGCTCTTGGACTCCATGTCAGCAGATACCGTGCAACATTTCATTGTAAACACTTAAAGCTTTTTATTAAGTTTTATTGGAAACCATACTTTATAGTGCCATTGCTTTTGCATAAGGGACTTTCCAGGCCAGAGCTGCTTGACTGCAAACCTTGTTAACTGTGTCAGCATATTTCATGAGTTCATCTTGTCTTCAGTAAGCTGAACAGTATCGGGGTCACAGGCTACTGACGGAAATTGCTTTCTAATTTATTTTGATAAACCTGGGTTTGTTACTAAAAAATTAAGTCCATCTAGCTGCAGGATGAGAAAGCTCCCTCTGGACATGGACCGGTCTTTCTGCTGATGCCAGGCCGGACCATCTTTGCTGCTGCTGTATGTGTGGCTGGCCTAAAGCTCTCCAGCCTCCCTGTTTGGGGGTTAAAACCAGACCTTCAGGGTTGCTGTGCTGAGCTCTTTTGTCTGTTTGTCTGCACACATGAGTTTAAGGAAGTGCAGAGGATAGCCTGGGCCTGTGGGGAGTAATCAGAATGCTGAGTTCCAGTGAGGAAGAGGGCAGAAGGTGGCCTGTCCCTCACTGAGCCACTGTCAGCCACCCCACTTTGCTCTGGTGTTGAAGTCAGTTTGTTTGTTGTGATTTGGACAAAGTGCTGGTAGTTCTGTGGCGTTCTTCTTTTATTTTTGTTTTTTGAGACAGGGTCTCTCTGTGTAGCCTTGGCTGTCCTGAAACTCACTCTGAAGACCAGGTTGGCCTGGAATTCACAGAGATCCACCTGCCTCTGCTGGGAAATTAAAGGCGTGCAACACCTCTGCCCAGCAGCTCTGTGGCATTCCTGATGCCAACAGCATTAATAGAGAAATGTCCAAATGCAGGGACAGAGCACAGCACTGCCATGTGGATCACACTTTCCCTTGCCCACACTTACTGAATGCCTTCTATGTATGAGGCCAGTGACAGAAGGTTAATCTCTACCCTGCAAATCAGGAAACCAGCCTTACAGGACTAGGAAACATTTTCAAGGTCAAGTAACTAAAAATGACAGGGTTGGACTTGCTCGAAGTCCATCTCGTTCTAGCCCCCCCCCCACTCCCCTTGTATATCTAAGGACCTTTTGTCAGGCACTTTAGAAAATACAAAGCATTAACAACTGCTAGCTTCCTACTGGAAGCTTGTTACTGGACACGGCCATTGCTCTGTTAGCTGGTAAGTCTGCTGCTCTCCTATCTCCTTTGTCCTCTCAACAGCAGGCCTGAGAGCTGAGTGCTTAGGAATGTGGCTCTGCTCTGGTGACATTTGTCTACCTAGGTAACCGGGTCACATTAGGCATTGTTAGTGTGTCCGTGAAGGGACTGAAGCTCAGAGATAAGGACTGACCCTAGTTAGCAGATGGCTGTAGCTTTACCTTTCCCAGATCACTCTTTTTTTTTTTTTTTTTTTTGAGAATTGCATCCATTGCTACAATGTATTTTGATCATCTTTATTTGCCTCTTCGACTCCTACTCGTGACCCCACTTTGTGTTCCTCTCTGCTTCCATGCCCCCCCCCACACACACACCTGCCTTGTTATTAATAGTTCCCTGAGTCCAGTCAAAGTCTAGCACTCAGGAGGCTGAGGCAGGAGGATAGTGAATTTGAAGCCAAGTGAGATGCTGTCTCAGAAACCAAACCAAAGTCCTGCCTGCACTCAGCATGAACTGTCGAGGGTTTTAGCCCCTCTGAAGATCAATATGGTCAGGTTGTGAATGAGGCTGGCCTTGGGTGACTTCTGCAGTCCAACTCTACCTCAGATGATGTTTTCTCCCCATCCCTTGCTTCCTATTTGGGGCAGCAGTGTACAGCTGAGCCATTTCCCCTGCACTGGCCCTTTGTCCCAGGAAACCAGATCTGGGACAGCTCAGTCCAGTAGACTTTCCTTTTCCAGAGCTTCTCAGACAGGCCCTGCCCCAGTGCCTGCCCCATTTGCTGTGGCCTTGCAGCAAGCAGGGAAAGCCCAGCTGCCTTTTGTTTAGGAACTAGCATTTGTTTGTGTTTGTTTTGCAGGCAGTGTATTTATAAGGCTCAGACGAGACTAACGCACTGTTTATTCAAGGAGAAAGTTAGATCTCCGCACAAAAGAATGTTCTGTGTGGATTCTGAAGGGGGAACGGCAATTTATGACTTGTGTCTGTTTTTGTCATTACGTGTGACTGTTCCATTTTATTGTCGAGCTGATTATCCCCATAATAGCTTTTCCATGTACCTATAAGCGAGAAATAGGTAGATGGCTTCTCGTAAGCAATGGGTTTTACTGTGTTTAAGTTGGCATGGTTTTAAGTTGAGTGAGATGTGCTTCAGACAGTCATCTGTCCCTTAGAGAATGTAGGATTTTCTCTTTTCAAAAACCCTTTGATCCTAAGTTACCTGAAGGATTCCTTTTCTGCCTCACATGGGGTATGTTCAGGCTGTCACATGTAGAGAAATTACTCACATGTCTGACATCAGAGTTTTCCTTTAATTTTTCCCTAATAGCCTTGAAGGCTAAAAGGGTTCCCTTAGTTTAAATTCCGTGTAGTTAGAGGAAGGTATCTGCTGCGGACTGACCCATCCTAGCACAGGCAAGTCTTAAACATCTGGGTGGTCAGAGAGCCTGTTAGGCACAGGGATGTGAAGTGGTAGTGGTGCATGGGAACCCCAGTGGCCGAGGTTCCCAAGAACAGCTTTGGCATTTCTCTCCTGCAGCTGAGGAGGCCGCTCCCCTGCCTGGCAGAAAGTAGATGACAACCCTACATTCCCTCGCACCGTTCAGTCAGGAGTGGGGTTCTGAAGCTATCTTAGTGAATAGCACGGTTCGGGGACTTTACCTCATCACTGAGGTACAGCTGTGTGGTGGCAGAAGGGTGTGAAGCTGACTAGATCAAAGAGAAAAAGGTCCGTCTTCCCCAAAGCAGTGGGTTTCCTGTCTAAGTACAGTGATGGCTACTGAAAAGCTTAGTAATGTGCTTTGCTGTCCTTCATTTCAGGTTTGGTGTTCCCGTAAATAGTGTGATGAATGAGTTAACATGAGCTATATTCAACCTTTACAAAATTCTATTATTATTATTATTATTAGTTTTTTGAGACAGGGTTTCTCTGTGTACTTAGCTGTCCTGGAACTCACTCTGTAGACCAGGCTGGCCTCAAACTGACAGCTTCTGCCTCCTGAGTGCTGGGATTAAAGGTATGAGGCACCAATCCCAGCTAATTTTTACACACATCAACTAATTTTTAGAGCTGAAGATGTGTCTGGAAGATTCTATTTTCCTTGAATTCTTTTTCCTTTATAATTGTCAAAGCACTTTTTTGGTCAATATCATAGTAAAAAGTCACAATGTGTAACCTGACTGTGGTCTTCAGACCTCTTTTCTGGTGTGGATGAGCTGAACTGTAACTTCTCTGTGTTACTTTACTGCTTTCAGAATTTCTAGGCAAGTAGGTTGTCATTTTAATACTAACATTGAAGGACTGGAGAAGGGATTCAGCAGTTATGAACACGTACTGCTTTTGTAGAGGACTTGAGTTCAGTTCCCAGCTCCCACATGATACTTCACAAACATCTATATATACTTCCAGCATCAAGGGATCTGACACCCTCCTGTGGCTTCCGTGGACACAGCACTCATCCATGTGTATGCATGCATATGCACAGTTAAAAATAATCTAATAACATACTATAATTTCAGCTCAGAAT